TCCGTCGCGATTTCGAGGCATCGCGAGTGCAGCGCTGTGCGCGTCCGCCTGGGCCGTTTGCGTGTGCCGCTGTTGGGTGTTATTCACTTGGCCCCAAATACACACACTAAACTGAAGCTTGGACCCCGCAGAGCTCTCCGCATAGCGCGCCTTAGAGGGGGTAGGCAAAGCCTTTCGAGGGCTGATCGACGTGCGGATGGGCTTGAGCTCGCCTTTCATGCTATATATGCGATGCTGAACCTCGGGGTTCATGGACAACTTGCCGTTCAACATAGTCCCGAGGAGTTTGCGCTGCCGCGTCGCATCCACGCGAACTTGGAACCGCGGGGGGCGAAACTCATCCCCCCCCCCCCCCGGGATCCCACAGAGGAGGGTCGCAAGCTTTCTCGAGTTCTTCCCAGCGGCTCGAAACATCAAGAAGGTTCTGTTCGTATTCGTTCGCAGGCCGTGGTCCGTCACTCTCTCATAAGTAATGTAGAACATAGTCTCGGCAACCACCCCCGCATTGAGAGCGTCGGCACAACCCCCAACCGAAGTTGAATCGTCCACGAAAGCCGCCGACGCATTTGGGACAATATGATCGCCGTCTTCTTCATGAATAAATGGGCCTGGGCGCGGAGCAACGGGGGCAACGATGTCAGCTTGAACCATGTCACGATGCATGTTAGCACAGTCGGAACGAAATCTTTGTTACACACATCGCACGCGAAGGCCGTCCCTGGTTTGGATCCGGATGAAGGGGGGCGCAACGCGTTCGGCTCCGCGGCATTGTCACCGCGAGCACATCTGAGCTTCTAATTTCACGAAGCAGGTGGAGCAGGTGGGGGCCCCTAGTCGTGTCGTTAAGAATCGGGGCGTCGGCCAACGTAAGAACGCTTTTCTGGAAAGCCTCAGGGATTGGGGGGAGTGGCGACCGCCTCAACGAACTGATCATGATCAGATGGCAACGACACAAACAACTGGCGGGCGACAGAATAAAAGACCGCCACCGGGTCGTGGAGGAGAACAACCGCTGTTTTTTCATGGACGCCGTAAGCTTGTGGATCCTGCTTCTCACGAAGAGGCCCCCGAAATCGGCGCCTGCTCCCGGGCGCCCGCCGCGCTGCTCTTCCACGAGAGTCCCGAACAAAAGCTGTTTCGCCCTCGTGCGAATGCGGGTATGATGCGCTTTAAGTATCGTGTTAGCTAGGATCATACTTCGGTAAAAGGCGGCAAGCGCCACGTCTCCCTTGCCCTTGTGAAAGGAAACAACTTGCCCGCGCATCAAATCGCATGGTTCAGCTCCGAGAGCTCCCACTTTGAAAAGGAGGGGGTGGAGGTGTCGGGTAACAGCATCTGGGGCCGCTTTTCAGCGCGTCGTTGCTGATCTGATCGGGTCCTGGGGCCTTGCCAGACTTGGTGGCTCGGGCCAATCGTTCGACCCCATGGATCGTGGGGGGATTCTCGAGGCCCCGAAGGGTGCGGGGGTTAAGGCCCGCATGACTTTAAAGGGGAGCCGCCGCCGCTTCAAATTCGGTTCCCCCCCTTTCAACTTTGCAGAAATGGCGCTGCATGTCGTTGCATGCCTGGGTGAGGGTCTCTATGATGTCTCCCTCTGGTGTCTTGCGGAGGGCGGTTCTGAGCAGCGCCGCGTGCCTCCTCCCTCCAGAGCTGAAGAGTGTCTGAATATGCGCCCACTCACGACGGGGCGCGCGCCCATCCAGCGCGCAGCTGGCGGCCGCTTCGTGCGGAAGCAAGAAAGCAGAGTAGTCTGCATCTAAGGCAAGTTGAAGGGGCTCGGCCGAAACAGAAATAAACGAAATCAGGCGGAGGCGATACTCGTAAGGATCGATGCCATGATACATGAAACCCCTGGAAGCTCTCAAAAGAGGAGGGAGTAAAGGATCGAGCGGGTGGTGGAGCAAAAGATTCGGGACTGCTAGCTGCGAGAACCTGATCTCGCTGCCAAGGTCTCCCTTGGTTATACTGAGGGCCAAGTAAAATCATCGCCCGACGCGAGTGCTCGCAATGCCGGCTGGTTCCTGGCACGGATCGGAGCTGGCTCGGGTGGGGGCCTTCGAGTAGTGCGGCGCCTTGCGGATGGCGCGTCGCGCCCTCGCAAGAGTAAAGGTGGGCACTGAGATGTTGGTCGAATCTTCTGACGACCGAAGGCTTCTATGAAGGTTTCTTGGAAGGTCATCGCAACGTAAGTGTAATGGTCATTCAAGTTACTGTCCCAAGATGGGAGCGGGGTTTCGTTAAGGCGTCGTCGGACAACTTCCAGGGCTTCGGGGCCTCCCACCTTGGCGCGATCAACAGTGGTGGCTCGGAGCGGATGGGAGGGCCAACGACGCTTCCACTCAAAAACAGCCTGGACAGGATGGTGATCACCGTGCTCCCGCATGTGTTCGAATTGGTGGAGGACCTTGGTGCCCTCCCAGGAGGGGTGGAGGCCTCTGGGCGAGACGACGTAATCGAATCGATGCGAAGTCCCCCTGCGGGTAATGTAAGCGTGCCCCACCCCTTCCATCTTAAAGGTCTTGCTGGCAATTAGATCAGATTCCAGCAGCCATCCGTGAAAAGGACTCTCCATTGCTGTCCTCCTGGCTGCTGGGCCCTAGCTGGCCAATGGGGGAGCTGGTAATTCGCCCTACTCGGGCATTCGCATCAGCGGAGCAAAAGTATATCGTCCATCGACGAGACAGTTCGGCAAGACGGGTCCAACAGTTACTTCGTTCCTGGTGGGAGTTGCCCGCGTGGGGGGCGCGGCCGACCATCGCAGTTCAAGTCAGCCCTGGGGCCGCAATCTTCGCAAACAGAATGCGTGGTTCTTGGTGGAGAATCATCGCATGCTGCCTGCGAAAAGTGATGGGGGGCCCTCCGCGGCGGGCGAACGGGCTGATCAAATTAATCCACAACTCGGCTCCGAGGTTGGATCCAGCGTGGCCCGAGGCAAACGCCGACAAGTCCTCGTGCCTCCTAACACCCTGCGAATTGCGTCCCTCCTGGACGCCGATGGCGTGGGCTCCTGCTGTTGCCATTTGCCCTTGAAGCAGCTGCTGGCGCGCCTGTCCATTGCGCTCTCGGGCGCCGCGTCGTGCGTCAGTGCGCGTCGACTGAATGCTATGAGAGATGACTTCCAGGCGAACTGAAATAGCTTTCTTCGGAGGCGGAGTGGGGGGGGGGGTTCTGGTGGCCCGGGGTAAACCCGACCTCAGGAAGAGAACCTTCGAAGGTCCCATGCTCGCGGCGAAAAGGGGCCCCAGGACAGGTTTTTCCATCCTCCCCCCTTCTCTTTGGATGATTTCGAGCCAGATGTCTCGAGCGAAATCGAAGCGATCCAAGGCTCAGGAAAGGCCGGGGTCGCTGGCCCCGAGCAGTGGCTTTCGCGAGGTTGTCGGCCAGGGAGTTCCAATGATGGCCACTGTGGGCCTTCCCGTGGGTGAGGCTCCAAGATTTGGAAATGGGAGCGAGGTGCCATCAAACTCTCGTGAACTCGGCCAGCTGCAAGTCTGACTTGGGGAGCTGGGATCCTAGCGCGGCCCGAGTTCTGCACGTGGAATCACTGGAGACACAGGAGGGAACATTGGAATGAGAAGCATGATCCAATGCGCCATCCAGACCAGCGCCGCCAGTTCTAACGCGGTGCTGGTCGCTTGGGCCGCCGCGAGGCCCATGCTGTTAGTATCTTCGAGTTTGCCCCTCCAAGCGCCCCAAGGCGAGGCTCCTTCGGCCCCTCGAGCAACCGCGACGAAGGCCCGATCCCCTTTTCGGCCCCCCTTTTCTGGTGCAGGGATCCGTCGCTATAGAGGTGGAACGCCTGCGGGGTGATTGGGCGGGGAGGGGCAAGAGAACAAGCGACGCGAGGGATGTCCTCCGATATTCCCGTGCTCTCCAGCTCTTGTGCGTTGGCGATCTCAAGAGGGGGGATAACAAAAGAGCACTCGCATGAGCGGCTCTGAAGCAGGGAACTGACAAGTGACAGCTCCTGCTGGCTGCAACTGATGCGCTTCCTGACAGCGCGTCTGTTCTCGCGCGGCCTGCTGCTCGCTCCCTTCGCGCTGGTGCCGGTGGCGATGGGCCAGCCTTTTCCCGACGTGCGCTCCGAGATGCCCACCGGGGGGGTAGGGCTCGCCACTGGGGGGCTGGCTCTCTCCCGGGGTCGGGGCGGGGGGCTCGGCCCCAAGGGCCTCGCGCGACGGCGCAGGGGGGGGGGGGCAATGGGGCCCGGGGGGCCGTCTCCCGATTCGAATTGGCCCGATCTTGGGCGGGCCCCTGAATTGAGGCTTCGTCCAGAGGGCTTGCCTGAAGAGCCTGGCTCGGATCGAAGTACCTGACTTGCGCTACCCCCCAATGCACTTTTCTATCGCCCCTGGCCCGATTTGTTGGGGGGGGGGCTGAGTTTCGTTGGGGAAACTGGGTGGCCATTAGGATTGGCCCGCTAGGAAAAGTGCTGGTCTTCGAGTCAGGACGCAAAGAGAAGCAAGTATTAGGTGACTGGCGACGGTCGCCACTTCAAGTGGAACGTCATCCTTGTACCTAAGCTGACGACGAGTGAAACTGCTCCTCGGCGGAGAGGCGCGAGCCTGAAGACGGGCAACGTGCGACGCTGGCCTCACTAAGCTCACTGATGTAGTTGATGGCGATGTTGAGGTTGAAGGCGGCCTGACCTTTAAAGTCGCACAGTCGCTCACTCCCTGCGAACTCTGCTGGTCAAATCTTCATGGGTCTCGCCATCGTTGGCGCTGCTGCCGGCTAGTAATCCTCGTCGCCCGTGATAGAGTTCATCGGTCCAGGTACTTGTTCTGGTTGGGCGCCGACTGGGTGGGTTGAGGCCAGCAGCTGTGAGACGATAAGCTGCACTGTGGGCTGGGTCGCTGGAGTTGCTGATCCCGCTGGCGATGCCGAGGTTCCCCGCATCTGAGTCGGTCCCCGCATCTCGCCCCTCGCGTGCGGGTCCTTGGTCGCCGTGGGTTCGATCTTCTCGAGCTTCACCTCTCCTGCGGGCTCCGTGCCAAGTGTCAGAGTGCCTCATATTGGTGTCGGTGGCTGTGACAGGCCTGGGATCGAGCCACTGGAGCGTGCGTCCGCCATGGCGTCCTCGTTGCTCTTCTTCGCTGCGTCCGATGCCTGCAACTTCGGTTTTGGCTCCTCCGCGGTCGCGCACCCCCCCCCTCTTCGGGCTCGGGCTGGGCCGATGTGGAAGCTGAGGGGCCTGAAGGGAACTTGCAAGCCAAGCCATGTTCGGGTCGACTCCCTTGCCCTGGCCCTTGGTGGCCTGGAGATGATGATTCATCAAGAACGCGAGCGGAACGCGAGCGTGGTCTGCTGGTCTGCATGCCCGTCGCGCTGATCGGGTTCGCCTGAAACGGGGGCAGGAACGGCGGCGGCGGCGGCGTGGGCGCTCGCGGCGGAAAGGTCATCCGCACAGGACCTGATGGTGACGCTGCAGGGCCTGGCGCTGCTGCTGCTGGCGGTCTCGGCGGGGGAGGGGCTGTGATTCCCTGTGCCGCTGCTTCCGCCCCCCGCCGCGCCTGCTCTGCCTTCTCCTGGTCCATCAGTTCCGAGAGGGTATCCTCCAGGCCCTGCTGGGCGTGAAGAAAAACTTCCCGCTCGGAGCTGGCCTCCTCGATTTTGCGCTCCAGCCCGGCAATCTCCAGTTTGGCATTCTCGAGGTCGATGCTGGTCGAAGAGATCCATGTTCCGATCGGCTCCAAGCTCGCCCCCGCGTGCTTGATGGCACTCAGCTCCTCGACCGGATCCGCATCCTCCGCGCCGCTGCGGCGTGTGGCCAAGATGAGCGTTGACAGTGCCCCCACCTGAGCCTGCGTGTCCTTGCGATAGGCCTGCTGCTGAGCTGGCGTCGCTGGAGGTACCGCATATTTCGGATGCTGAGGGGCGAGCTGCTTGGGCACTGGTGGCGTCGCTGCTATGAACTGCTGAGCCTCCATGTTCGTGATGGGGCCTCGCCGTCCTTGTTGGGGACGCTGTCGGTACGGTGCCTGAGAACTGGGCTCCGCGCAAATCTGTGGTGGCTGCTGATGGTGACGACGTCGGGACTGGCTTCGCTTCCTGGCTGAACGTGAGGATGGTCACGTTTGCTACTGGTAGCCACACAAGCAATGCCAATGACGATGGGCAGCTCGGCGAAAGCATCGTTGACATTCCCACGCGTCCATGCGCAATGGAAAGCTATCTCTGCCGTCTGTGAGCGAAAGAATCTCCTAGCAGGGCGGACTGCTAGGGCAAAAACGAGCAGTGGGCGAGGATTGCTCCTGCCTGCCCGCCGCCCCTGGGGTCCGTTCGCCACCTCGAGAGATGGCCACGGACTTGAGCCAAAATGGCTACGGACCTCCTCCTCCTCGTCGTCCTTCTCCTCCTCCTCCTCCTCGTCTTTCCGCTCCTCTGACGGTGGCCCCAGATGGGACCACCGCAATCCACGATCCACCGCGATACTCGCCAAACGAAACACAACTAAGGATCCACCCTGATCGCTCACATTCCGCTATTCCGAGGCTTCCCAACTGATCTTTCCTTTCTCGACCAGGACCTCATGGTTCCCCTGGACTCAGGCGACGCGGCGGGGGTGAAGGGGGGGGGACCACGGGGCTGGGGGATGAGCTGTCTACGGGTGGGGTCCTTGCCCCTCTTGAGTCCCTTGAGGCCCTGAAACGTCCCCCTGTAGGGTGCTCAACACAACGCCCGGCCAACGCAAGGATCTGTCTGCTCGCGTAAGCTCCACATAAGATGCACCGCGCTATTCCACTGGTCCCCCAGACGACCAGAGCCTATGGGACGAGCCTGGGCGAGCTTGGCATGGACTCCAGGGCACCTGGATCTGACGAGGCGGGCCCGAGTGAGGCAGCTACGCCGACAAGCCAAACATCCCCATCGGCCGTCCTGAAGCTTCAGCTGATGGCCCCATAGGGTCCGAGACCAGGACGAGCGGATCAAACGAGCGACGAGGCCGAGGACGATCAATATCGGGTAAGCCCGCGGACGCCAGGCGGGCCAACACAAGTCCAGTGCAAAAGGCGACAAACTTGTCGGCCTACCACAGGAGAGGCCTCTGCTCAGAAACTTCGGGACTAGCTGGGTGGCCTCGAGCCAAAGTCTTAGCAACCTTGTCTGCCAACTTGCTAGACCTGAAGTGACGCCATCCCACTCCTCTCGCTTGGGCATGTGGCCAGGACGTGTGGGATGGAGCACAAGCTATTTTAATATTCTCGCGGACGATGTCTTGGATCCGATTCCAAACACGGGCCCAAACTTCGGAATACGGGCGAGTGGCTTCGCAGGTCGCCTCGGGTCCCGAAGCAAAACCATTGGCTACGGCATTACAACCAGCCACAATCACCATAGCTCCCAGAGAAAGGTGCAAGCAAATGTACGAGGCCCAGACTTCAGCCAAGCATCTTTCCTGCAGCGCCGTATGGAGAGTGCCAAAGACAGCTCCCGATGATTCTCCGTGGGCGTCCACGGCGACACACGCCCACCTTGCTCTGCTGGCATTGGCGAGCTCGGGGTCAAGACATGATCCGCCAATGCGGGTGAGGCCAGTGAGCGCTCCTCCCTGGAGCGGCCCGTCGTTTCGAATCACCCCCAGCTGAGACGGCGGAGGCTGTAGCCGCAACTGGGAGTCGGCCAGGCATCGGAACAACAGTGGATCGTTGACCTCACATTGGCCACCTGCACGCGTGCCCTCGTCGGGGTCCAGTCCGTCTCGGACCGTCATCGAGAAATCACAACAACAAAAAACTCCTGCTCACCCTGATTATCCTCCTCCTCCTCCTCCTCCTCACCCTCATTATCCTACTCCTCTTATTCCTGCTCTGCTCCTGCTCCTGCTCCTCCTCTTCCTCCTCCTCCTCCTCCTCCTGCTGTGTCCAACCCTCCTTCTGCTGCGCACGTCCCTCGAAACCCATGTCCGCGGTGTTCACGCATCCGTGCAAGCGCACATGCAGAAAACGGCAGACTCACATGCGTGCCTCCTCCTCCCCCTCCTCCTCCTCCTCCTCCTCCTCCTCCTCCTCCTCCTCCCCCTCCTCCTCCTACTCCTCTTTTCACTCCTCCTTTCCCTCCTATCCACTTCGCCTCATCCTCTCAACTCCCCTCCTTGCCCTTCTCTTCTGTTGGCATTGTTGGGCCGCCTTCGCCATCACGGGGTTCATGCACGGCTCGCCGGTGTGCTCGCGGCGGGTGGGCTCGAGACGAGCCTGGGCGGCGCACAGAGCCTATCCTCCTCCTCCTCTTCCTCCTCCTCCTCCTCCTCCTCCTCCTCCTCCTCAACCGCCGCCTCCTCCTCCTCCTCGTGATCCTCCTCCTCCTCTTCCGCGGGATCCTCCTCCTCCTCCTCCTCCTCCTCGTCCTCTCCGTCTTCCTCCTTCTCCTGCTCATCCGCCGCCGCCTCCCCTCTAGGAAGCCAAGCGTTCGGCCTGTGGGTTGTGGGCCGAGAGTCCGCTGGATCTCGCCCGGAACGCCCCCCCACCAGTCCGCGATGTCAGGATGATTAGCCGTCCAGCCCCTCCACCAAGAACGACGCTGACGGGAGGGAGCGAGTTGGGCGTCGCTTGGAGGGGCGATAACTCGGGTGGGTGGGTGGGTGGGGACAAAGGTGCACATTTCGGGCCCGAAAGGCCTCATTTTGGGCCCTGAAGGGCCCATCTAGGGGCCCTGAAGGGATCCTTTTCTGCAGCCCTCGCTGCCCCCCAATTATCGCACCCCCATTACGCGAAGGCCAAGCGAGTCGTGGCGGAGTGACGCCAGCTTTCTCCTCCTCATCTCCTCACCAGCTCCTCCTCCTCCTCCTCCTCCTCCTGCGCTTCCTGCTTCCCTTCTACTTACTTGCTTACTGCAATCTTTTGATCAACGGCACAAAGCTCCTCTTCTTCTGTGCCTCTTCTTCCTCCGCCTCCTCCTCTTTTTCCCTCAAGGTTGGCCGACAAGGGAAAGGGGCAAGGGGGCAGCGACGCCTATGCCGTCGCCGCCGCCTCTTCCTCCTGTTGCTGCTGCTGCTGCTGCTGCTGCTGCTCCTCCTCCTCCTCCTCCGGGAGGCCTGGGATTCGGCTTCGGAATTGTCAGGAGACTGAATTTTTAGCATCGCGCTGAACGCCCCCCCCACCATCCGTCTGTCTACCCCCTCCGCCGAGGACGGCGCTGGTGGGAGGCCGACGCCGACGCCTCCTCGTCCTCCTCGCGCTTCTCCCCTTGGCCCTCGAGTTCTGCTGGGTCCTCCCCAGGGCCCTCCACCAGGGTCCGCCATGGGGAGGCGGACCGACGCGAGGCCCTCTGCTCCCTACCCCCGCCCCCTGCAACTGCACCTCCTTCCTGCCCGGGCACACGCGAAGATGAATTAGGGATCCGTGGATCTGTCGCATGCTCGCCTGATCCACGGATCGGGGAAAGCCCCCCCCTCAAATCATTAGGGGAAGAGACAACGACATAAGCATAAACTTTCGACGATCCGCACGCATTTCTAGGATCTGCACTGAACCCACCTCCCTGGCGCGCGGAGCGCAGCCGACAGGGGGCTCCAGCGCAGATCCAAGAAATCCGCACGGACCGTCTGCAGTTTTCTTCTGCGATCAAACATGGAGCCAAGTGCCGCCTCGTTTGGCGACGGAGCGACCCTATCTCGCATGGGAACGGGACTCGTCGCCAATCCGGGCGCCATAATCCATGTTTGTTTTCCCTGGCCCCCGTGGCCTGTGCTGTGGGCCGCCATGGGGCCGCCCAGGAGGGCAGCGGATCATAGGCCCGCGAGTGCGCCCCCCAAACGCCCAGGGGGTCCGCGAACCTCGGCCTGGTGGCGTCCCCGCCTCTGCGCACTTTTCGTTTAACAGTCGGACCGAGGTATAAGATCGAGGTCGGCTCGGGGAGGGTACCCTAATGTCCTTCGTGTTTCTCGGATGCTCTTATGCGTCCTGGGGAAGGGCACCTCAAGTGCTCCTCAGTTTGGCCGTCGGAGGGTCGCGTGCTCTTGAAGAATGCTCTTCTGCCCTAGGTCCAACCGTAATTACCTGCGTGGGAGAGGCCGCCCCGTGGTTCCTGGGGAGGAGAGCGAGCAGCGGGGGAAGGAGAAGAGGAGAAGGCAGCAGCAGCAGCAGCAGCAGCAGCAGCAGCAGCAGCAGCAGCAGCAGCAGCAGCAGCAGACAGTGCACACCGCCCCCCCAGAGCAACCCTGCGCCTCTGCCCCCCGCCCCCTCTGCGCGCCCTCGCCATCGGCCAGGCGAGAGGGCGTGCACCGAGATAGGCCATCGCGGGCGCGACCCGGCGTCGGACCGCGGTGCTAATGCAGCGCCGCCCCGTGCGGAGCCCCCTCCCCGGCCAAAATTCGAGGCGCACAGGGCCTCCCTGGGCGGGAGGCGGGAGCACAGGTGCCATCGGCTACACGCAAGAGTGACTCTGGGCAAGAAGGACCTTTAATGCGCGGCTTTTTCGGGGCCGCGGGGGGACCACACGCAACCTCGCAAGACGCTGCTACCGTATCGTATTCGGCGATCTGGGGACCCCAACAGGCCCGCGCCAAAGGTCACTAAGTCACTCCGGCGAATGGTCACTCTCACGTGTCGTCGATGCCAGTCTGGTGCAGCTGAATGATGGCCCTGGGCCACTTCTGGGCCTCGTGCTTCCTCTCCGCCTCACCCGTCCATGTCCGCGTCCTGGTGACCATTCCTCCTCCCGCCAACGCTGTCCCCCCTGCCCCCCCAAAATGAAACCAGCAGGGGGCCTTTTGCCTTGGCTGCTTGCAGCGCGCAGCGCCTTTAGAACCTCGAGGCGCCCCCAGGCCGCAAGAGGCCCAGGCGCGAAGCGGGAGAGTCGTCGGACCACGGGATCGGACGGGCCCTCGCTAGATCGCCTGCCAGCCACTGCCACTGGCAGCGGAAGAATTGGCGAGTTCTGCTGCAACCAGCCGACCTCGCAGTAGCCCCCACCCCCTGCCCCCCGCCCCCTCCCTCCCACCCTTGCCATCGTCCTCCGGTGCTGTCCTTTTAATGGAATGTTTCGACCATCCCTTGGGGACGGGGGACCAGAAGGGAAATCACTTCAGCACTCTTTCAGTCTAGATCCTCCTCCTCCTCCTCCTCCTCCTCCCCTTTCTCCTCAACCTCCTTCTTCGTGGAATGCCGCGGCGAGGTGACAACGGGCACTGGCTGGCAAGATGGCTCAACGCCGAAACAACAACATTTTTTGTCATGGCCACTCCCGTGACTCTGCTGTCTGGCTCACCGAGGCCCAGCAGTCCGCACTCCGCTGGGCCCGTGTCTCTGCTGGCTGACTCCTCCTCCTCCTCCTCCTCCTCCTCCTCCTCTTCCTCCTTCGTCTTTCCACCTCCTGTTCTCATCCTCACCAATCGCCCATAAGGCAAAGTGTCGTCTATCATAGCTGTGAAGCTTCGCCCAGCTCGCAGGCTGGATTGGCGTGTCGATAAGCGAAGCTGGGCTCATATGTCCGAGTGCCTCACCCAAGAGTGGACATGGGGAACGTCTGGATTCCTTGGCTCGTGCATCCTGGCGGCCTGACAGAAAACTGCCCCCCCCCACCCCCCGACGGCTGCAGCTCGACAGGATCGTTGGGATTCCAACGATACGCTTTAATTAACTTGTGCCAAGCTCTTTGCTTGGTGAGAGCGCTACAATTGTCAAATCCTTCTGTGTTGTTGCCCATTTCCGGTGACTTTGATGCTTTGATGCGTCTCGCTCAGCTGGTCTCCTTTTGAAGTGTCGGATCTGACTTGATGGTCTGCTCACCCCGCTGAAGAAAAACGTTCTTGTTGCTTTGCTTGACTGCCGTCCATAGAAGCGCTCGCTGGCGCCCCCCCATGCCATGCAGAGCCTTGTCGTCCATCGTGCCCCACCCAAGCGTGTACTTTGCTTCCTGGGGGTCCACGGCGCGCGGTGGGACAAATGAGATAGCTCAATGAGAAAAACCGGGGGCGATCGGGGCGATGGGGGACAATGGCAGGCTGGTAGGATGGAGTAGGGAGCTCGATGATCTTGGGCAGTGGGTCTCTGGTGAATAACCAAATCTGCTTCGATGCGGACTGTGAGAAAGACGTTGGCCGGCAGATGGTGTGGCTGCCCGAACGAATTTTTACACAAAAAGAGTTGCTGGCATTGCTTGCGGGTAGGCAGGTTACAGTGGACTCTCAATTCAGCCTTCTCCGCCAAGACTTTGACAACTGACTAGTGTTGTGGTTTAGTAATCATACACATTGGTTGCGCCTGCAGATGCGCGCAGATTGCCTGTGCACTAGAAGGGGTTAACAGCAGGAGCGAGAAGAAATGTGACAACTGCGAGGGGTGGGCCATGATGGCGCGGATAAGGAATCGGGGGGGCAGGATGAACTACATATGACAGATGATGCTGACGATAAGGAAGCGGTGGAGGACGATCAGGACGATATGGACGAGGGGGGGGGGGCGGCGGAAAAGAAATACAAAGGTGATTGCGTTTTCTGAAGAGGATACATATGTTCTTTTTGCCCGGCAGACTGTCCCAAGAACATCCCGAGAAGCCCTGAGGGACCCCCAAGAGAACCTCAAAGGCCGCCAAGAAGCCCCCAGGAAGCCCCAAGAGGCCCCAAAACTTGGCCCAAGATGCCTCGAGGCGGCCGGATATGGCCTGCAGACAGGCCACGATGCCACCAAACGGCCACAAAAGAGCACCAATAGGTTCGATAATAGCAACGAAGCAACAAGAACGATGTCGAACGCTGTGTCATGATGCGGACAAGCCTCGTGAAATACAGTCGTGGAGGCATAATAATTTATATAGGGGTCGTCGGATGTGGCGTACGCCTATAGAATCCACGTCCGGAGGTGACGTGCTGAGCGGCAGCGTTTTCTGCGGAGGCGATAATGCAACGTATCCTATGTGTCCAATGATTGCATAATTGCAACGTGTTGTATTGCGTTACATTATTATGTCTGCCCCCCCTAACCCCCCCCAGGGGCCACGCCACTTCCGTCGACCCAAAGGTGGCGGACCCCTTCTGGGCTTCAAAAACATCAAAAACCTATGAGAAATCAACAAATTCGGCCTCTTGGGTCTCTTGGGGCCCCAAGAAAATTTCAAGACGGCCCAAGATGGCCCCAACACAGCCCAAGACGGCCTCAAGACGGCCCAAGATGGCCCCAAGAGGGCCCATGAGGCCCCCAAGAAAGTCCAAGAGGCCCCCAAGAAGACTCCCGAGAGCGCCTCCGGAGGCCAAAATCTTTGATTCTCCTATAGTTTTGGGACAATTTCAACGTTTTCGCCTTCTTCGGCTCTCAGAAGGCCATGACGGCCCAAGCAGCCTCCAAAAAGGCCCCCAAACGGCCCAAGAGGCCTCCAAGGGGCCCCAACACGGCCCAAGAGGGCCCCGAGACGGCCAACAAAGCCCCCAAGACGGCCCAAAAAGACCCGATACGGCCCCAGAGGACCCCAAGAGAGCCCCAAGGCGGCCGCGAGAGGCTTCCAAAGTGGCCTCCGGAGTGGCCAGACGGCGTAAGAGCGCCCAAAGACGGCCCAAGACGTCCCCAAGAAGCCCCAAGAGGCTCCAAAGAGGCCCCCCACAGGCTCAACAAAACCCTTAAGAAGCTTCCAAGAAACTCCCAAGAGACTCCCAGGAGGCCCCACAACGACTGGACTGAACGTGCTCTGAAACACCCTGCAGAGCTTTCTGCGGAGGCGATGATGCAACGTATCCGATGTATCCAATGATTGCATAATTGCCACATATCGCATTGTGTTACATTATTAATTATGTCTCCCCCCCTACCCCCCCCCTTCTGGGAGCTGCGCCACAGGAGCGGACCAAAGTGCCCCCCTCCCTCCCGGGGCTCAAAATCAATGATTTCGACTTCTTGGGCTTCTTGAAGGGCCAAGAGGGTGCCAAAACGGCTCCAGATGGGCTCTGCGCGGACCAAGACAGCCCCGAGACGGTCCAATACGGCCCCAAGAGGGCCCAAAAAGCCCCACTGACGGCCCAAGAGGGCCCCAAGAGCGCCCACAACTGCGCCCCCAGAAGCCAAAATCATTGATTTCCTTTTGGTTTGGTATGATTTTAGCGTTCTCGCCTTTGCGGCCCAGGCAGCTTCCCAACTCGCTCATGAACAACCCAAGAAGCCCCCGAGAGGGCCCCAATACTGCCCAACAAAACCCCAAAACGGCCCAAAGAGGCCCCCAAGACGGTCCAAGCGGCCCCTATGACGGCCCAAGAAGACCCCAAGACGGCCCCAAGGCGGCCGCGAGAGGCCCCCAAGACGGCCTCCGAAGGGGCGAAACGGCGCAAAAGCGCCCCAATACGGCCAAAGGCGCCCCCAAGAGGCCCCAAGAGGCACCCAAGAGGCCCCCAAGGGCCCCCCAAAAAACCCGAAGAGGCCTCCAAGATGTCCTCAAGAAACCTCCCAAAGGCTCCAAAGAAGCCCCCCAAAGGCCACACAGCGACTGGAGTGCAATGCCATTTTTCAGCCCTGCGCGAACTGCGGCGCAGCGCCAGCCAGGTGGAAGTTGGTCACAGCGGCGCCCATGATTAGAGCCGGCGCTGGAAAGAAATATGGGGAGGGAGTATGAAAAGGAGTGAGGGGGGGGAGGCCCCCAAAAAGTCCCCAAGAGGCCCAAGGAAGCTCCCAGGAGGCCTCCAGGAGGCCCCCAAGAGGCTCCGCGACGACGTGACTGTACGTGCTCCGGACGTGCACCCCGCGAAGCGAAAGGAATCCACGTCCGGAGGTGACGTGTTGCCGGAGGCAGGTCCGCGGAGGCCATAATGCAACGTATCCAATGTATCCAATGATTGCATAATTGCTACATATTGGATTTGGGTTACATTATTATGTGCCCCCCTAACCCCCCCCCGGGGCCACGCCACTTCCGCCGACCCAAAGTGGCCCCTCCCTCCTGCGCCTCAAAAAACCTACCAAAATCTTTAGAAAATCAATAAATTGGGCCTGTTGGCCCTCTTGGGGGCCCAACAGGGCCTCAAGACGGCTCGAGAAGGCCTCAAGACGCCCCAAGAGGGCCCCCAGAGGACCCCCAAGAGCACCTCCAGAAGCCACAAACCATTGATTTTCGCTTATTTCGACTCTAAAAAGTCCAGGACGGCCGAAACAGCCTCCGAAGTGGCCCCCAGACATCCCAAGAAGCCCTCAAGAGGGCCCGAAAACGGCCCAAGAGGGCCCCCAGACAGCCCAAAGAGGCCGCCGAGATGCCCCAAGAGGCCCCCAAGACGGCCCAAGAGTACCCCAAGGCAGTCTCCGAAGGGACCAGACAGCGCAAGAGCGCCCCCAAGACGCCCACACCGGGCTCCGAGAGGCCCCCAAGAGGCCTCCCAGAGGCCCCCAAGAGGCCTCCCAGACGCCCCCGAGAGGACCCAAGAGGCCCCAACGATGCCTCTATGGGGCCCCCAAGAAGTTCCCAGAGGCCCGACAACGACTGGACTGTGCGCGCTCCGGACGTGCACCCCGCGAAGCGAGAGGAATCATTCTGGAAATGTTGGCGACATTCTTTGGGGGAAGGGCTCCTGAAGCCTTCTGGACATCCGCCTCTTCGTCCCCTCCAAGAGCCGCCTCTGGTGCCTCTTGGACGCTTTTTCTGGCCGACCTGGGGAGATATTGAAGGGCTCTTGGGCCGAAACGGCGAGAACGCCGAAAAGCATTCTAACCCCTGAGGGTCATCTACGACTCTTGCGCCTTTGGGGTCCTCAAGGGGTCCTGTTAGCGACCTCGTGTGGACGACTTGGGAGCCTCTAGGGCCGTCCAGAGGTCATCTCAGGCCGCGTTGGAACACAACTGGGTCGTCGCAAGGCCCTCATGGGCTGGCTTGGAGCGTCCCGGGGGGGGACCACAGCTTGCGAGCAAAGTGGGGGGCCCCGTTCCCCATTAAATATTGATATCTACATGTATCTGTACATCGAGATCGGTATATGGTATTGGGGTCGATGGTCAGATTGTGAGACTGACCGATAGTGATATAGAAACAGACAGCGAGCTTGCTATATGTGTATAATTCGAACGGACACGACTCGCAACCAATACATCCATAGCTGCACCCATCCCACCAGACTCCGTATCACCCGAAAAGGTGTTCTTACTGGTACAGGCTATGTGCATCTTTGGGTACATCCATGCATGCATACACTTGCATGCATGTATGTATGTTTATACGTATACATGCATGCATGCATGCATTTACGTATGCATGCCTGCACGCATGTATGCATATACGTATGCACATTTGTGTCATGTAATATACATGCCGCTCTGCCAGGGGATCACCACAAAGATGCATGCGCAGTGGCTGCAAAGGGAGGCAATGGCGTGCCTGCCGCCGCCAGAAGTGCGGCATCATGACGGACCAGACGCTGACGAGTATGCAGAACGGGGCGGTGGTGAAGTTGTTTGGACCGCCATGGACCTGGCTGCTCCACCCAACCCTGCGCCTTGCCTGCATGGGAACTGACTGGGGTTAGAACCTCAAGCCTCCCGCATTACACCGCGCAGCGAACAATCGTCGATAATGCCCATAGTGCGCGGACTGGGCTTCTCGGTGATGCGTGTCAGCACTGGTATCGACAATGCATCTGCGACCCGTCCCGAAACCACGCAATCTGTGTGGACTGCGTGCCCAAGTGCGTATGAGGAGTCCTGGCCAGCTGAACCTTGCCAACAATTACTCTGTACTGGCTGCCTGGGCTCCATCGTCTTCCGTGGGACGGCGGCAAACTTGTTGGCCAACCGACGAACATCACATCGCCGGCTCATCAGGCCGAAGATGTGCTAGACCTGGCCAGTACGGCGACAGACAGCATCGCCGTATGACTGAGAGTGCGCAAGATCGTGGCTTATCCTATCATAAGGCCTTATAAGGGCTATCTTGGGGCCATCTTAAGGTCTCTTGGGGCCACGCCTCGCAGAGCTCTTTCTGAAATTCGGAAGCCATTTTGGGACAGTCTTGGACAGTCTGGAGACATGCTGGGGGCGTCCAACCAACGAATAAGCAAAGCAACCAGCCGCCGAGCAGCCAACAAGCCAACCAAGTAATCAACCACTCTGTAACGTCGCCAACCAGGCAACCATCAAGCCAGCAAACCAACCAGCCTGTTGGTCAACCAGACCACCAACCCAACCACCCAATCAATCAATCAACGAATCAACCCAGCCAGCCAGCCGACCAATCAGCCAGCCAACCGATTTGCCGAACAGCCAACCAACCAACCAACCGACCGACAAGCTAGACAAGCGAGCAATCGGGCAACTGGCCCGCCAATCGGCGCACACGCCGGTCAGCTGTCAAGTAGGCTAGCCGACAAGCCTGCGGACCAGGAAACTCACCACTCACCCAGCAAACAAGCAATCCAGCCAAACAGCCAGCCAACCAACCAGCCAACCAACGAGCCCGACAACCAGCGAGCCAGCCAAACCGAACGACCAAACAGGCAACTAACTAGCCAACACGCCAACCAACCAGCTAGCCATTCGGGCTCATCGTGGGGCCTCCTTGGGGCCATCTTGGGCTATTTTGAGCATACCTCGGAATCGTCTTGGACCGATTGAAAAATCCTGAAAGGGTCTGGGGGCTATCTTAGGGCAGTCGTGCGCCGTCTTGGAAGACACCTTGGGCCCTAATATGGGCTCTTGTGGGTCGCTTGGGCTCTCTTGGAAGGTTCTGGGGCCCTTTCGAACCATCTCCAGCTGAAACACCGAGATAGCAGTGAATGTTTGAAACGCTTAGCGTCTCGGGCCGTCTTGGGGGCATGGTTTGCAAACTTGAGCGCCACCTGTAAATATCTGAACCACTCTTGGTGGCTTCTTGGCACCCTCTTTAACTACTTCGAGGCCTCTAGTCTGCGGGACCAACACAAGCCAGATTTGGCTGAATCAAGGCGTGTTGTACACCTGGGCCTGCGCCAACGGTCCCCCTGACTCTCCACGGAGCTAGCAGCACCGGTCAACTGGAAGATCACACGCAGAGTGCGCTTTCCGTTGCCTCCTCGCTCTTTCCCCTCTTCGAACCGCTTCGCTCCACTATCGGATCGCCCGCGCGGCGCGCCGTCTGCCATCCTGCAATCGGGTGAGCGAGGTAGTGTGGTATTGTTCCATCTAGGAAGGCAAATCTGCATGAACATACGCTTTCGGAATACCGCGCGGATTTCTTGGATCCGCGCCAGGGGCGGCGCCGGAGGCGTCGCGAAGGGGGGCCCAGTGCAGATCAAAACATCCGCGTGGTGTTCCGACCATTTATGTGTATGCCGTTGTTTGTTCCTCGGGGATCTGCCGCTGCGCTTGCAGCGGGTAGCGTGTGCGCGCGCGCGCGCGCGTGTGTGTGTGTGTGTGTGTGTGTGTGTGTGTGCGTGCGGTGAGTCCCAAATCGACATCATTGCCTGCAGTGCTAGCACCGCAGGATTCTATCAGACCCAGAAGGCCTGGAAGACCAACCTATATGACAATGCCCTGGTCTACGCCGACCCCACCATCCAGCCGAGCACCAGACGGCGCGACGCCATGAACCTGGGGACCTTTAAAAAAGCCATTCCAGAGGGCGCCTACGCTGAACTCCGCTGGAACTAAGCACTCCTGGAAAGAACTTTCCAAGTCCCTCGCGTGGACCTGTCTGGCCTTGTTCAGCCCCTCAACTGGCTTCGAGCGGCGTCCCCGGGGCACCTCCCTTCCGGCCATCCCGCAGAAAGGGTCGCCATCGAAACGATGGAGGAACCTCCCCCGCCAGCCAGCCCCAGCGACCCCACTGCCGCGCTGCCCCCCCCTTCTGCCCCCGGATGGTCCTCTTCGGACGTCACGCGCTATCGGCCATGATCCAGTCCAGGTGGCAGCGGTGGGACCGGCGTGCACGCGTCCAGTGCATCGGTCGCGTGCTCGCCAGGACTGTAGCTAGCTCTGAAACCTTTCGCCCGAGTGATCCCCTGGCTGGTTGGATGACCTCCTACGGGTGGGGCGGCACCGACCTCTCTCGAGAGGATGCGGTGTTTTGGCTGGCGCGCTGGAGGGCCGAACAGACCCAAAGAGCGGCTGCGCGCCGAACTCCATGGCAGAGAGGCCCCGGAGCAGAGCGCGCGCCGCTGGCCCCACTCTACCAGACGGGTAGGGAAATCGCCAAAAAGGCACACACGCTCAGCGGGGTCCGAGCCGATGGCGGGACATGGAAGGACCCGCCCGAGGACGTTGACCAAATCCTCTGGAATAGTCGCGCTGACATCTGGCAGACCGCTCCTCCCCTCACCCATGCAGCTCACGCCTTACTCTGGGTGACTACTTCGCTGGTGGCCTGGCGGTATCCCTACCAGACCGCCCGCAACCCTCGTGTGGACGCATGGCGGTGCTGGTTCTTGGCCCCTCAGGTAGCGCTCCAGGGGTTGACGGTGAACCATACGAGGTCTACCACTCTGGGCTGCTGTTCGTCGCCCTCCTCCTCGCCAACGCTTGGTACGTCGCTGATCGGAACCCCGCCCTTCCTACCACTGTTCTCGGGCCCTCGGTTGACCTGCTAGTGTGAATCCTGAAGATCCCCAATGCTGAGCGCCCTAATGATTTACGTTCCCCGCAACACCCCACCTGCATGCGCCGCCTCTTCGGGGCTCCGCTTGCGGAGCTACTTGGGCCCCTTGTGGAACCCCAGCTGTCCCCCGACCAAGCCGCCAAGAAGGGCGGACAGTGCGGGCCCAGCATCCGCGCAACCACCGAACATTGAACACTTCGGGCGCGCCCCGGCTCCGGCTCCATCGACTCCTGGCGGAGCGTGAAGCCGCCTGCTAGGAAGGCACCTGGCAGTCGTTGAAGCACACATTGCGGAAGTCACCCGCGGCGCCGGCCCTCACCCATCGACTGCCATCCATTTTGCGGATCAAAACAAAATATTTGAGAGGCTCTCGCTTCAATGGCTTGCAGCTCTACTCAATCGCTGGGGACTTCCCGCATGGCTGCAGCAGGGCCTCCTCAACCTTGTAGTCCGGGGCTAAGTGCAGACGCTGCGGGACACATATGTAGGCCCCCGGAGGAGTCTCGCCAGATCCATAAGGATGGGAGGTACCGCCTCTCCCCTCCTCTGGTGCATGGCCTACGACCCCATAATGGCTGCCACCTCCGGGGCCTCAGCTGGCCGCTGCCCCGCCTACGTGGGCGACCTTGCCAACCTACTCGACTCCCCTGAACAGACCATGTGCGCTTCCATCATGCTACCGTGGGCCTCCAGGGCAGCCGTGCTGCTGGTCGCCTCGCGCGCGTGCAAGGGCTTGGCATTCGCTAGCCCCCCTCCAGAGCTGCACCACGCCCTCGCTTCCAGCCCCCTTTCTGCCAGGCGGGCGCCTGATGGACTCGCGATCATCGCTGGTCTCCTGCCCTGCCTCATCACGGGCATCCTTCGGGCTGAGCACGGTGAGTCTGCGGTCCAGGGTGCCCAGGAATGGCAGCAGCCGTGCAGCTGCTCCTTCAAAACTGCCCTTGTCCCGGGTGCGGCCTCGGCCTGGTGTGAAGGTATTCTGGACGCCACCCCCTTCGGGAGCTCCTGTGTCACGGCGCAATGGCCCTACCTTGGCACCACCTGCAGCACCGCTACGAGGGCCGCCGCCAGAAGGCTTGCCCCCCTTGCCGCGTCCCCTGGGCGGCCGGGGGCGCAGGCCTGCAATGGCGGCGCGCCTGAGGCCGAACTGGCCTTGTCGATGGAGCGCTGCGCATGTTTCCGGGCAGGGGCGAAACACGATCGACGCTGCGCTTACGTTGCGAAAGTCCCCCCTGTGCCGCATGCGCTACATGTCCACGGTGCCACATTGCAGAGACTAGAGGATTCCCACCAACGAGACTGGGGGGCTCTTCGGGGCCCCTCGAACGGAGATTTCCCCTTGCACATGGGAAAGGAGAGAATGCGTCGGGCCCCGCTTCGATCTGTGGCGCACAGCGGACCATGGCCCAGATCTGGAGCGCCATGCCGAGGACGGCGATTGGCAACAACCACTTCAAGTAGAACGCCTGCCCGTGGTGAGACCCGCCCAGGCATGGGGAGGGGAGGGGTGTGTGTGACAGGAGGGAGAAGGAGGTGGATGAGGGGGATGGGAGACAGGGGGTGGGAAAATCCGGTAATTCCAGAAACCTCCTGGCCGTTCTCGGAAGTTCCCGGGGGTGCCGCATCCAGGAGGTTCTGGAGGGGTCAGGAGGGGAGGATGGAGGGGCGCCGAGCGGCAGGACCTGGGGCCTGCGGCAGAATGAGTGGCCGCAGCCGGATGCTACCGAGCACGCCCGTGACAGAACAAGTGCGATCCTGCAGGGGTGTGACATGTGAAGGGCTCCTCGTAGATTACAGGCTGGCCGTGGCCGTCACACCTAGCCGCCAAGCCTCGGGGCCCCCAGGCTCCTCCTCCTCCTCCTCCTCCTCCTCCTCCTCGAAAACGGCCCCACGGAGAAGGGCGAGAAGGGCGCAGGGAGAGGGGGGCGGAAACATCGAGAGGGAGGGAGGAGCAAGGGGGGATGGGCGGGGAGGAGGCATGTGGAAGGACAGGGGGAGGGTGGAGGAGGGAGGAGCTGGGGGGTGGGTGGAGGGGGTGGGGGATGGATGGGGGGAGGGGAAGAAAGGAGTGTGGCGGTAATGAAGAGCAGAAAAGGGGATATATGGTCCAGGGTCTGTGCGACCTCCTCCTTCATGCTGATGCTCCCCCCCTGTGGGTGTGGTGGGTGTGGTGGGTGTGGTGTTGAGGGCGTGGCGTATGTGGCGTGGTACTGAGGTGCTCCAGGAGAGCTCCGGAGGTCGTCGTCGTCGCCGCCGCCGTCGTCGTCGTCGTCGGAGGGCTCGGGAACTCGGCGGCGCCGCCGCCGCCGCTGCCGCCGCCGTCGTCGTCGCCGTCGTCGTCGTCGTCGTCGCCGCTGTCGTCATCGTCGTCGTCGTCGTCGTCGCCGTCGTCTCGTCGCCGTCGTCTCGTCGCCGTCGTCGTCGTCGTCGCCGTCGTCGTCGTCGTCGTCGCCGTCGTCGTCGCCGTCGTCATCGTCGTCGTAGTCGTCCTCGTCATCGTCGTCGCCGTCGTCGTCGTCGTCGCCGTCGTCGTGGCCGTGGTCGTCGTGGCCGTCGTCCTCGTCATCGTCGTCGCCGTGGTCGTCGTCGTCGTCGTTGTCGCCGTCGTCGTCGTCGTCGTCGCCGTCGTCGTAATCCTCGCGGCCGCCGTTGTCGTCGTTGCCGTCGCCGTCGTCGCCGCCGACGTCGTCGTCGCCGTCGTTGTCGTCGTCGTCGTCGTCGTCGGTGTCGTCGTCGTCGTCGTCGTCGTCGTCGTCGTCGTCGTCGTCGTCGACGTCGTCGTCGTCGTCGTCGTCCCCCCATCCCAACAGGGGGGGAGCCACGTGGAGCCCTGGGACCAATCCTATCCGGGGGGGGGGATGGAGGCCCGTGGGCCCGGAGCCCGGGATCATATATGGGAGGAGGGACGAGGGGATGGGAACATTCGCGGGGGAACAAGGAGGGGGGTGGGTGAAGAGGGATGGGATGAGGGAGGGGGAGGGGGAGGAGGAGGGGGAGGAGAAGGAGGAGAAGGAGGAGGAGGAGGGGTAGGGGGAGGAGGAGGAGGAGGAGGAGGGGGAGGAGGAGGAGGAGGAGGAGGAGGAGGAGAAGGAGGAGGAGGGGGAGGAGGAGGAGGAGGAGGAGGAGGAGGAGGAGGAGGAGGAGGCTGGCCATGATCATGATGGGAAGAAGGGTCAGTATGGTACTGACGAGGAGGAGAAGGTAACTGACAACGATGATGTTGATGAGGATGCTTAGGAAGATTGTGCAACTCATGCTGCTGCTGTCGGTAATGAGGATGCTGCTGGTAAGGATGATGACGACGACGATGTTGATGCTGATGGCGACATCGGTGCCGACGATGACGACGAGGATGAGGACGAGGGTGATGCTGATGATGACGCTGATGGCGATGACGATGCTGCTGCTGATGATGATGGTTATACGGATCATACCATATTGACGAGAAGTATGCCAATACTCTTGATACTGGTAATGCTGATGATGATGTCGATGACGATGATGCTAATGCTACGGACACTTAGGATGCGTATGTTGATGATCATGCTGACGATGATGGCGATGATGCTGCTGATGATGATGCTGATGATGCTGCTGCTGATAATGTTGTTGATGATGATGGTGGTGATCGTGGGGGCGACGATGCAGCTGGTGTTGATGCTGCTGCTGATGCTGATGCTGCTGCTGCTTTTGATGCTGATGATGATGCTGTTGTTGTTGGTGATAATGATTATCGGTAATTATGATGGGGGCGACGATGATGCTGCTGCTGCTGATGATGGGGTGGTGATGATGATGCTGATGATGATGCTGATGATGATGCAGATGATGATGATGATGATGATGATGATGATGATGATGATGATGATGATGATGATGATGATGATGATGATGTTGTTGATGATGATGATGATGATGATGATGATGATGATGCTAGTGCTGATGGTGGTGCAGATGATGACAAAAGTATGACGTTGGCGGTGTTGACGAGGAGTATTGATACAATGATGGTGTATGGAGGAGGATGAGGTGATTTGGGGGCGAGTGGAATCTCTGGGATAATAGGGAATGATGGGAAGGGGGCGGAGTGCCTCATAAATCAAGGATGGGGTTGCGGGCAGGGAGGGGGAGGGGGGAAGAGGGGGGAGAAAGTGAGGGAGCGAAAGGGGGGAAGAAGGATAGGGGTGGATGGGCGGAGAGGAGGGGGAAGGATGGGGGGGAAGGAGGCAGGTGGAGGAGGAAGAAAAGAATGGAAGGGGGGGGGAAAGGAGGAACCGCTGAGGGGTGCAGGGGAAGGGCGGAGAAGAGAGCGACGTTGAGGGACAGGGCGGCGACTAAATAGGAGGGGGGGGTGGAGGGGCAAAGGGGCGGGGAATGTTGGTAGGAGGGCCTGGGGCGGAGGGAGGGAGCGAAAGGTGGAGAAAGAGGGGGGGGAAATGACGGGCTCCTCCTCCCTCCGGGAAAGCGGGGTGGACGGGAGGGGGGGAGAGGTGCAGCAAGGACGGACCTGACCACCGCGACGCTCCCTACAGCTGAGGGGCACGGCGGCGAGAAGAGAGGGGCCGGCGAGGAGGGGATGGCTGTGAAAGGGGGCGTTGTGGCAGGGCCCTTCTCCCACAAATGCTCCGCCTTTCGTCTTGAGGCCCAGTGTCAGGAGCTCCTGTCGCCTGCCTTCCCATAACTCCGGCGCAACGTTCTTTCCACAGCGCGTGCCCCCATGAAGTCTAAACCCTTTCCCATCCCGAACTGATTTTTGAAAACCCGGGGGCCCGTGAAGGCCCCCGCAAGCCGAAAACGGCAAAAACCGTCCGTCGAGGCGACGAGAAGATGTGGGGGTTTTACTCATCCTTCTCATCCTCGCCCCTCCCCTTCCTCCTCCTCCTCCCCCTCCTCCTCCTCCTTCTTCTCATCCTCCTTCTCCTCCTTCTCATCCTCCTCCTGCGGCCGCGTGTCTGCCGCGCGCCGGAAGCACATTGATCGGGGGCCAGCGCAGCCCCCCAACCCCAGCAAAAGCGCGCCGCTCAGCGGCAAGCAAGCCCCGGAGCCGAGGGGGCGCGCCGACAGGGGCCTCTACCTCGCATGCTCGGTAGCACGGCGGCGACGTGCAGCAGGCCGCATGGCCATCGTCCCTCGGTCCCGCCGCCAGGCTCCACACCTCCTCAAGGCAACGCCAGCGCGGTCCCACCGCTAGGCGCCGCCCGGCCCAGGAGCGCCGCAGTCGCCCCGTCCGCCCCCGCGCCGCCCCCGCGGGCGAGCCTTTGCCCCGCCACCGGCTGCGCCGGGCGCCCGCCGCGCCGCCGGCAGCGGCCGCCGCGCCTGCCCTGCGCCCGCCTGCCGCCGCCCGCGGCCTGGGCGGCTCCGGCCGCCACCCGGCGCCCCCGCCCGGCTCGCCCTCCTGCTCCTCCGAGAGCCGCCCGGCGTGGCCTCCGCGCCCGGCAGCCCGTGCCCGCCCTGCCGGCCTCGCGACGCCCGAGCCAGAGCGCCTCGCCGCCGCGCCGCCTCAGCCCCGCGCAGCAGCCGCCCAGCGCCAGCTGTCCCAGCGCCCAGCAGCAGGCCTCTATAGGCCGCGGCCCCGGAGCAGCCCCAGCGCAGCCCGGCCGCGCGCCGCAGCTGGTGGGCCAGCTCCAGCGCTGTAGCGGGCAGCTGAGCACCCTGTAGGCTCGCGCAAGTTCTTCCTGCTGCGAGTCCTCTGGGAGCTCTGGCCAGCGCAAGCGGCCAGGCCCGCGCCTCCCCGCCGAGCCGGCCGCCCGTCTCCACGGCGAACGTCGTGAGGCGCTCGCCTGTGTAGCGGGTGTGTTTGACGCGATCGGCCTGGCGGGCCGCCTCGCCGCCGGCCGCTGGGTGGCGGACAGTCACGTCCAGCCAACGCCGGCCGTCGAGGTCGTCGTACTCGACGTTCAGGATCGCCCGCTCCGGGACCGGCGCCTGCCCCCGCCGCGGCGCGCAGGCCTTGCCCCAGGTGTGCACCCGCTGTTCGTGCAGCGGCGAGCAATGCCGCCATCTGCTGGCGAGGCTGCCCGCGGCGCGCGCCAGGCCCGCGCGTCGCTTGACGACGCCCCCGCTCGGCTGACACACGGCCGCGTGGAACCCCGCCGGATCCAGCGGCGCTTGGCGCGGCTCCCCGACAGCCGTCAAGGCCGCCGCGCGCGAGAACTCGTCTTTGAGCACTCCGGTCGCGACAGCTGGGCGCGGCTGCGAGTAGCCGTCTGCCAGCGCTGGTCCTCCAGCGTGCAGGCCAGCTCCGTGGGGTACTGGAGGTAGGCGCCGGCCCTGGGCCCCCCGCGGACAGCAGCGACGCCTGGCAGCAGTGGTGCATTCGCTGCTTCGCAGCAGCGTGGGTTCTCTTATGCACCACAGCAACCGGGGTCTTCTGCTTTGTCGGGTGTCCCAGCAAGGCCTCCAGGGGCGCCGCTGGCTCAGGGTCCGCGCCCTGGCGCGCCAGCTCAGCCTGGGTCGCCTCGAGCGCGGCTGCGGCCTGCGGCAGCGCCGCCAGCGTGTTTGCAAGAGTGGACACTCCTGAGACACCGAGGTCGTCCCGCACCTCCTCCGCCGCCTGAGTCCACGCCGCCCAGCAAGCGGGCGTCCGTCTCGTGGCCGCCCACTGCGCGCCGGCCCCTCCGAGTTTCGCTGGCAGGCCCAGCAGCTCGCACGCCTCTGGCCCGAACTGTCGCCCCAGAAGCTTCTCCCAGCAACCCCGCAGCGCGGCGTCGTAGCGGAAGGTCTCCTCCCCCGCGGCCAAGGCCAGCTGCAAATTGTGCTGGCTGGCGTTGTCGGCGTAGGTGTTGAGCAGCGCGCCCGCCGCCTGCCGTTTGATCCCCCCTTGCAGTGGCCGCTCCAGGTTGGCCCAGAGCCTCTCGGGGCGCGCCGTGGCCCCGTCCAGCCCGCAGCACTGCCCGCCGAGGGGGAGCGCCGCCCCTTCGGCGTCTCAAGGAGCCCGGAGCTGCGCGCCGAGGACTGGCAGAACGGGCACGCACTTGCTCGCGAGCTCGGCCTCGACAGCCTGGACACCCGCAGGGGACCAGACCAGCGTTTTGTCGTCGATCAGCTCCAGCCCCAGTGGCGCGAGCACCTCGCGGAGGCCCGTCAGCGTGAGGGCGCCGAGGCCCGCCCGCACCACCAAGCAGGAGTTGTCGAGGTAGGAGCACAGGCGGGCGGCTGGGTCCAGCTGCTGCAGCCTGTGCAACATGCAGCTGCTCAAGGGCGCGCCGCTGCCCCACGGCGAAGGCCGCCGGGGACAGGGGGTCTCCCTGATCGAACCCGCGCCGGCTCCAGACCGCTTCGAAGCGCCCGTCGGCAGTGCGCCAGTAGTGCTCTGTGGGGCCCGGGTACCTAGCCCTCAGGGCCGCCGCCACCTCGGGGACAGCTTCGTCCAAGGCCTCGAAGGCGGGGCCGCGGCGCATCCATTGGAACGCCGCCTTGACGTCCACCTTGATGAACGTCGCGTTCGGCTGGGCCTCCGCGAGAGCCTGCAAGCTCTTAGCCAACACGTTCGCGCCGCCCATGCGCCCGACGCCGTACTGGTGTTTCCTGGCATTTTCAGTCAGGTGGGCCTTCCGCGCTCGCGCCAGTGCGCGCAGCCCCAGGCGGCGGAGCGTGGCGCCCAAGGCGCGGAGCGTGTCCTCCTCCTCCTCCTCCTCCTCCTCCTGCCCTGCTGGGATCGAGTCGTGAAGAGGCGGTCGGGTTGAATGAGGTAGCTGCTCTCACAGGTGCTGCCCTTGCTCGGCGGGGACAGCTCAGTCAACAGATCAGGAGCCCAGGGTAGAGCAGGGCGCATTTAGAAATCAACTCCTGGGAGGCTTTCGTAAGAACGGTTCATGGCTATAAGCTCGATGAATTAGCCATTGAACCAAATCAACCCAAATAAAGCCCTGGATTAAACCGGGTTAAGCGGTCTGAAGCGGACTTGAACGGTATTGTGCCAGATTGCGCACGTTTACTCCCACGGGTCTACCAACGCCAATGTTAGATTTAACCAAGGGTTGCAGCCTTAACACGTGTAAGACGAAGCCAAGAGCGGGACAACATCGGACCAGGACAAATCGGGAATCTCTGAGATCCTGCGCTTCTGGAGAGAGAGTATCGGGCGCCGCGGTCGTTCTGCAGCGCTGAGAAGCGCTCTGAGAGCACTCGGGAACGATTTATCCTGGTCCTGGCCCCGCACGAACATGGGAGGAGGTGAGAATAGGGGGGACGTGTGGGCAAGAGAGGTTGTGGAGCGAGCTTGGGGAAGAGGGAGAAAAAGTGGCGAAGCGAGGTGGAAGACGAGGGAGGAGGAACACTAGGGTGAAGGAGGGGGATGTCAATGAACAAGGGGGGTGGCAGGGTCAACAACACAACACGGGATCGAACACTTCTTAACACCTCCACGCAAGCGGCACATCGTACAGACTACACGCTCCCAGCTCGTTCTCCTCATCCTCATCTTGCTCTTCCCTCTCATGCTTATCTTCGTCGCCTGGAAGACGAAATAGAATGCAACTTTGTCGCCGAAGTAATCTCGGATCGTGTTGGCGAGCTCTTCTTTCATGAAGTACCAGTCCAGCGCCCTCGGGGCTGAGCGTCGCGGAGCTGCAGACGCGAAGGAAACGCCACGGTGCCAGGGTTTCTGCCTGGCGTCTCCAAGAAGCGGCAACCGTTCTACGAGCCGCGGGGCAGAATGTGCAGAACCATTTCGCCAACGAAATCGTTGACCCACCTATCACGACGGCGCTGCCGAAACCAAAGGTTTCCGTGCGATATATGTCAAGCAAGCCGGTGTCAGTTCACACACACCTACACACATATATATATATATATATACACATGTATACACACTTGAAGTGTTTGTAGATATGCACATAGATTCCTCTTCCTATATGTTTACAAGCCCGGGCGGGGGGAAAACCTATCACCCCCCCCAAAAAAAAACGGACTCCCGGGATCTGGGGCTTTGGGACCCTTCGGACGGGCCTCGAAGCGGCCCCCCGGGCCTCGCTGGGCGTTTTGCCAAGCCTTCGCAGACACCTAGGGCGTCAGGATCACAGCACAAGAACGCTCCAAGACATCGAAAGATCGCTCCAAAACGTACCATGAGGCCTCCAAGAGCACCCCGAAGAAGGCCCCAAGAGGGAAACATAATTGATTTAATGAAGGTTTTTGGTGAATTTGGGGTTCTCCTCTTTTCGGCTTCCCGACCCTCCAAGACAGCGGTCTTCTGGGCGTCCGAAGTCGCTTGGGAGGCTCCAAAATCGCCCCACAGCCATCCGAAAGGACTTCCAGGCAGTCCAAGAGAGCCCCAAAACGGCACACCAGGGGTCCAAAATGGCCCTAAGAGAGCCCCATGGCGGCCCAAGATGGCCCCAAGACACCCTCCGAAGCATTCCAAATCCTGACCAGGGCGTTCAGGGAGACCGCGGTTAGAGGCAGGTTGGCCTTAGGAAGCCCCAGAGGCCCCTAGAACACGCCCAGGAGGCCTCCAGAAGGCTTTAAGAAAGCCTGAGAACTTTGTTAAGGCTCCCAGAGGCTCTCCAAGGAGGAGCCTCCGCAAAAAGAGCTGAGGAGGATGGGGAGAATGCCCAGGGTATGGCGATAATGAGGAAGCATAAGCATGGATGAAGGATAACGAGCAACATTATTATAACGGCGATGCCAGAAAAAAAGGCAGCAAGGAATTATTGTTAAAATGTCCGCTTGACCTTCCTGCCTTTCCCGCCTGCGTAGCAATATTCAAGGACCAAGGTGCATGGCGCGAAGCGCGACTGCAGTCTTGTGTGTATACATATATATATATATATAGATCTTCACAGGGTGAGAGAGGAATAACGAGAAAGAGAGAGAGAGAGAGAGCGAAAGCGAGAGAGAGAGAGGGAGATAGGGGAGGATACGGCGAGAGAGAGAGAGAGAGAGACGGAGAAAAAGATAATAAACATAGAGATAATTGCCGACACGGGGAAACGCCAATCGCATGTGCTTGCCAACGCACATATGGACGGACGAACACGTGCATGCATGCCTGTGCGCACCTATGCGGACGAGCGTGAAGGCCCGTGTGCACGCACGCATTCATGCTCGTACAGACGCGTCATTGCTCAAACGGGTACGTGCACGCACGGACGGACAGCAAGGTGCTTCAGATGCGGCGTGTGCGTACATGCAAGAATCACTTCCATTGCCTCGGGTTGGCATCCTTCCGGATGGCCCCTTGGCAAGACGCTTCGACACAACAGTATGATCTCATTAACTGCCCCGATGCGCAACACGCAGCACGTTGTGTGTCGACACGGAGCTCAACACGTATACCGAAAACGCAAATCTGGAGCGATAAATTAGCCAACACGTAGACCAACACGTGGCGAGCAAACACGCAACGTGTTCACACGGACGTTTTGAACACGGCACATGCTGCGTGTCAGGACGGGCGTGTCCGGGCAACCAGGATGCTCATGCATTCCTCGTCAGACTTCACGGGCTGCAGAAGCCTCGCACTGCACCGTGCAAGACGGACCTGTCAAAGGCCTGCCGTCCAAACAGCGACCCCGTGAGTAACGTGCGCGTCGCCCGCCCTCGCCTCCCACAGCAATCGGTTCCACCACCCATCGGAGAACAGGTTTCGGAAACACATGCGCGTGGGCAAGCTTTCTCGACGTCGGCCTTGTTCGCAGAGGCGAGGGCGGGGAACACAAGGGTTCGGAGCGCCTCTTGGGCCCTAGATCTGGCCGTAATCGGCTCGTTCCCCCCAAGCGCCGACCGCAACATTTCCGGGCGATTTAAATCGACCAGGAACTTTGACCAGCGCCCACATCAATCGGATGACGGTCGAAACACGGAGCAAACAACGCCTAGCGGGAGGTGGGGTGGAAAGGGGTGGGGTGGGGGCAACCTGCGATGTGATGCCCCGTGCCCCCTGGCCATTCGTGCTCGTGTCCGGGAGCTGTACATACCTGGAGGTCAGCACCGGCTTGCGTGGGGCTATGCTGTGTCGCCAGGAACAACCACACGATACGCAATTCTTCCAGACTTCTACTTGTGGCGAGCGTGAAAAGCAGATGGCCAGAGGCAACCGCGGGGCGGCAGATCTGGAACTACGGCGGTACGGCCCCGCCTGTCCATCAGCTGCGAGAGAAGTCTCTTCTCGTGCAGAGGGAAGTATGCCTTCCCATGCCCTCCTGCTGCTGCTCTTCCTCCGCGCCCTCCTGGTCCACCCAGGCACACATCCCGAACGGACAGTGCGAGGCCTAAAACAACTCAGGATTTCTGCACCTTCGATTGCGGAGCCATACGATCGGGGCCCCCTTCTTTCTCTGTCCGCCCCTTCCCGCGACACCACACTCGAGAAATCAGAGCTGCTCGGGCCCGACACCCATCGACGAACATGCCAAACGAGGGCGCCGCCGCCGACTGGCAAGGCGTGGCATAGGCTGGGATCCAGTGTCATCTTAAAGGTACCAATCAGCCAACGACCGTTTCTGGAAGAGCCGAGCGCGCTGCACCGAGAGCCCACAGCAGCGTTTCGTGTGCGTGCCGCCTGGCGACCCACTCGGGCTCCGCAGCTGCTCGCTGTGGGACGCCATCTGTCCCCCTAGAATTTGACCCTTGGCGACGCCTAGCATGCCCATCGTTGATCGGCGGCTGGGCAAGACGGTGCGTAAACGTCAGGCCGACTCGAGCTCTCGAGCAACCCATCGGTTAGACTGGAGGGCTTCCGCGCCCAACCGAGACTGCCGATCAACTTCTCCATAGCCATGCCGCTCCCGGACAGGCGTGTGCGCCAAATGGATAGAAGTCATATGTTGTTCTCTGGTTACGGTCAAGAGCTTTTGCATAGCGTGTCGCCGCGGCGGCCCCAGCGGCACGCCATCCCCTGCGAGCATTGGCAAGGAGTGCAAGCCCACCGGTGATGCAAAAAAGAAACATTGCGAGCCGAATCCTCGCACCAACTGGCGACGGGCATGATGGTGCTCCACCTCAAAGGGGGACCGACGGCTCAAATTGCCGCGAGACCCAGACACACTTTAGCGATGTGTGTGTGTGTGTGTGTGTGTGTGTGTGTGTGTGTGCGATGACAGGCGTATGCATGTGTGTGTGTGTGAATGCAGGTGTCTGCTTCGCCAGCTGCCACGTCCCTCCGTAGACGCTTCTTCTGGGCTTGACTTAACACATCGTGCTCTTCTGAATTCACCCCTGAAGCGTCTGAACTGCGCCCACGTGTCCGCTACGCGCATGGCATGACGCCCGTGAAGGTGTCTCGCTCTTGAAAAGAACGCGCGGGTGTGCGTTGCACGTGGTGGCCAGCAATGTAGCCGCGCTTCCGCTAGCCGATGGAAATGCGCGTTGCCAAATCCGTGGGGGGTGGTGGGTGGGATCCTCCTCATCCTCCTCCTCCTTCTCCCTCTTCTGACTCCTCATCATCTTTCTTCCTCAAGGTCCGCGACACAACGCGGATGTGGCCATGTCATTGAATGGACCTTGTTTGGAGTGGCAATCCCCCGACACCCCTCGAACGAAAACCATCCGATTTGCCCTCGGGAGCGGGCTGAGGGTAATCGGAAACCGACAATCTCCACATACTGAGCAGTTGGGGTTCCGCGATGCGCAGAGGGAGTGTAAGGATCCCTCCAGGTGCCGACCTCTATAGTCTCGTCCTTCACGAGAGCCCTGATGTTGTACCCTGCGCAATCCTGTGCACGGCTGGGGTGCTGGACCCTCCACCTGAAACCAAATTGCGGTGGCGAGGGTGCAGCTAGGCCGCGCGTATCGACTTTCCCGCGCGCCTGGGGCTGACATCACGAGCGGCTTCTATTGTTGGGAAGGAGGACCATAACAACCTCCATGATGCTGTCATCTAGACTTCCGTCGTCCAGATTTGTTCAGAATGTGGGGATTCCAGACGTCACGACCCCATCCATGACGTGGATTTCGCGTTGTGGGCATTTTGGGCCACATGGCCCGAAACTGACCTCCGAAGGCCCAAACCCAGAAAAACCTGCCTTCGTTAATTCGTCAGGGCGCCGGAGGTGTGGGTCTGGTGCAGCTGCTGGCCAGCGTTGAGATCGCCGCGGGCTTGGAGGCGGCCGTCAAGCTGCCGCGCGGTGCTCTCGAGTCTTGGAGCGGGCAGAGCTCATGCCGTACTGCTGATGGGAGTAGCCATGAAGAAAGCGGGAAAGGCTGGGGCAGATAAGGGAACGTGGAAGTCGGCGACACGCCCAGGGGGGAAGACTGACAAGGCGGGCCTTCTCAGGGGGCTCAGAAGGCGTACGGCCTTCCGAGGAGCCTCGTGAGTCTCCTCTGCCACGGGGGTCTTCTCAGAAAGCTGGAGAGCTTCCGAGAAGCCTCGCTGGCCTTCTGAGAGGGTCTGCCCCCCCCCCCCCCCCTCTCCCCCCCCCCCACACACACACACACACTTCCCATCTCGGCGCGCCACAGGAAGCGGAGGAGAGGGTGAGAAAGAGAAAGGAGGCGCTCGCAGGGCGTGGGCGCGCACGTTCAGCCACTTAGGACAGGGGCCCTAAAAGAGGCGCGGCACAGGGGGGGAGGTGGTCGAACGCAGTCTGTGTCGGGAGGGTCCTCAGAACCCCATGGGTTTCTAAGATCACCGCTCTCCCTGCGACGCTCCTTGTGGGAGACTGGCCGGTCACTGCTCACCCGTCGCGGGTCCCGGCCCCTTCGGATCCTGCCTCGCTGCCTGCCGTCTTTGCAGTGGGATCGCTGTCGCTCCATCCGAGCTCTGCTGGGACAGTATGAAGATGCAACGTCACCCTGCTGGCCCCTACTGCTTGGATGCATGCTCCTGGGCAAGGAGCTGGCCGACGTGGCGCGCGAAGTGACAGAACCCACGAGGGACCAACAATGACACGTGCTCCAGCGGAGCTGCGAGCAGGCTGATACATGCTGCAATCATGCATGGCGGTGCGTTCTTCCTGGCGCATGCTTCAGTCTGGCAACATGGCGTGCCACCGTATCATCCGCTTTCCACAGCGGCTGCGAACCACTGCCGAAGCGAAGCTGCGCAGGCTCTGCAATACGCGCTGGGGCATCTTCAACGCGTTTCCGACGCGTTGAATGGGAGCATGCTGCGTGCAGTGGGATCGTCACGTTCCGCATGGTAAATAAGACTTCGGGTTGCGCACAGCCCCCCAGGTAGTCCTGGTTGGCCTCGACCGGCTCCCCGAGTAATCCCAGCTGGCCTCAACAGGCCCTCCGAGTAGTCCAGGGCGGTCTCAACACCCTGGCGCCGCCTCTGGTGGCACCCTAGGGCGCTCCGCGCCCCAGGGTTGACGTGTTGAGACCCCGGGCTACTTTGGGGGCCTGTTGAGGCCTGCTGGGACTACTCGGGGGGGGTTGTTGAGGCCTGCCGGGACTACCCGGGGCAGCTGTCGTTGAGCAGCTCGAAGCCGCACCAATTCCGCACCACGCAGGGCGCAGTGCGCGAGCAGCGGCAGATCCAGGAACGCTCTGACACACGGCTGGCCGCAGCGTGCCCTGAACGCGCTGGCGCCGTTCTGTGCCCGACGGCCAGGCCAGAAGTGCCGAGTTCTGGGCTGCTCCCATGGCCCGCCTGCTGACTTCAACCCAAGGTCAGGCTGCAAGGTGATCAGGAGTGGTCGGCGGGAAGAGTGTCATTGGCGGGGGTGAGGGAAATCACACTGCGGCTCGATTGCTGCTGGGATGGGGGGGGGGGCGAGGAGGATGATGAGAATGAGGAGGGCGAGAGCTATGCCATAAGACCTTCGCTGGCAATGCCTCTGAGAATCACAGCCCGCCGCAGGATGAGGAGGAAGAGGCGGAGGAGAAGGAGGAGATAGTGGGCAACTCCATTTTCGCATCCGATGCCATCAGCAACAACGGCAAGATGATGGCGAGAGTGCAAGGATGTGAAGGCAGCCGTGCAAGTGGTGTGCAATAGTGGAGGCGTAGCCAGGCAAGCAGCGAACCAGGACAAGGGACTGCGCACAGGCGTGGCTGAAACGGCGCGGGGGGTCGAGTCCTTGTCCGATGACGTGATGACGTGGTGTATTAAATGGATCTTGTCAACCGTCTTGAAGATGGAATCTGAACCTGGCAGGTCGTCGTCCGTATACGTCTGGTAAATGTGCGAAAGGATGCGCTTGTCCTCGAGATGCCACTGTAATCACAAGGGGTAGCGTTCATGGAGGCATCACTCCACAGACTGTGCTGAATGAGCATGCCGCGCCTCAGTAATACGCTGAGATGCACGTGGAGCTACTACTAGTGCAACGCCGAACTGTTAGTAGCTACTTGCGTTTCGACTATCACATTACATACACGCTCAGACGCATTCGCGTCCACTGCAACCTGCGCGTAAACTGGTCAGGGGGTTGCAAAGTATCCCGTGCTCGAAAGTGATCGGGTATACCCTCACGGCCCGCGTCTGACCGACGAATGAGTTGGAGCGCGACGGACTTCACGCGTGGCTCTCACAAACTCATCAGTTGTTCCTCCTCCTCCTCCTTCCCTCTCTTTCTCTCTTCCCCTCTCTCTCTCTATCTTTCCCTCGATCTGGCTTATCACCCGAACTGTGAAACCAACTTTGTCTCTACCTGTAGCTTTTGTGTGCTCAGCTCAGTTTCACCTCATGCTGCAGATGCAACTTCAACTCTAGCCCTACCTGTGGCTTCTAGAGTTGGCACCAACACAGTTTTCATGGCAAGCGCTTCTTTAGCTTAGAGCTTTGCGTTTACCCTGGATCTACCATCTACCCATGATTTTCGATTGCCAATGGTACATTGGTGGTTTAATATTGTAATATTGTGTTCGCATGTACGTTTAGCTTTCGTTTCGGCAATGGCGTCTGTATTACCTTTTGCAAGCAGGCTGAGTCGTAGCTTTGACTACTGCATACATGCATGTTGGCTTCACCTGCAGCTTTAGTGTTAACTTCCACTTTAGCTGGACTTACCTCTGACATTTGCCTTGACATGACTGCGTACGCTATTCCTGCATCAACATAGCAACACACACAAAAGCGTCACACAAACACGACACCGTCTAGGACGAACGCGCCGCGAAACCCAACAATACGACACGTCGGCAACATGTCAAAAGCGAGCGCCCATATATCTGGTGCTGAACGGGGAAAGGAGAGAAAGAGAGAGAGAGAGAGAGAGGACGGGGAGGATGAAGACATGATAATGGAAGGCGTGTCATGAGGGGGTTGGACATTATCACGGGCTCTGGGGACATTCTGGGGGGATCTTCCCCCACCTCCCCCGCTTGCTCCTCCTGCTCCAGCTACTCCGTCTTTCCTCACCTATGCTCCTTATCCCAGGGAAGCAAAAAGATACCCATACCGCTACTCACAGGACCTTTCCCAGAGTGCGAGGCGAACCCAGCCGAGCGGATCCAGCCGCAGCGACGGTGGCCCTCCAGGACGAGTATCTGTATTGGTAATTACCTTTGATCTTCTGGTATCAGTCCTCCTCCTCCTCCTCCTCCTCTTCCTCCCCTTGCTCCTCCTCCTCCTCCTCCTTCTGCCTCAACTGTGGGGCCTCGCGTCCTGGAAACCACTCTCTGGCCTCCCCGGGAAGTCGTGCCGGTACTCGGCGGACGCCCCCATGAACTGCCTCCTGAGCTGCAGCTTGTAGCGGCACCTGGGCCAGCGGCCGAGGCGCTCGCGGGCCCTGCGGCGAGAGACTCCTCTGTGTCTCTTTGTTTTGCCCTCTCTCTCATCTTCCCTCTTCATACATCCATGTAGACTCATGTGTTTGGAATCTCGAAATACATTTGCACGCCTAGATTCGCTCTCGGGCCAAACTTCTCGACGTCGGAGCTGTTCGCAGAGGCGAGAGCGGGTCAACACGAGGGCTTGAGGCCCCCGTGGGGCCCCAGATCAAGCTGGAATCGGCGCGCCCCGCCGAGACGCCAACCGCAACATTTCAGCTCGATGTGGGCCGACCAGAACTTCGGCCGGCGCCCTTGCGCACACGTACTCCGAGTTTCTTAATCAGCGTCGGGGGGGCTTCACCCCCGCCGACAGCCCCACATCGAAGCCCGTCGCGGGCAGCCACCGCGCGCCAAAGGCGCTCCGACCCCCGTCGCGGCGCGACGACGAGGCGAGGTTGACCCTCCGTCGGGGGGGGTACCCCCCCACGCCAATTAAGAAACCCAGCGTGTGTAATACACGATTCCAGCGCGGACCTCAGGCAGCGGTTCGGTGCGATGTACGCGGTGCCATGCAAAACCAACGCAGGGCAAGACAACGCCCACTAAATCAATTCAACGCAACAGCCATAGCGTTCCGGGCTCCCGCGGGCGAGGGCTGGACACAAACCGTAGCATGGGAGAAATGGGTCCTGGAGCCTGGGGCCTTCCCCCAGGACGAGATCTTCATCCTGCATCATTTTTCCTGACAGTCCCGCGGCCCGTGGAGGGCCCCGGGAGCCCGAAAACGGCGAACAATTTCAGGACCCGTTTCCCTCAGGACCCGTTCCCCCCATGGCGAAAACCATAGCGGTCAAAGCAACCACGGGAAGAAGTGACACCAACAGAATTCGGCTCGGCATAGACGCTACACGGCCAGACCTAACACATAATAAGATCGATCAAGAACATGAGACCCTCCGCCGACCACACCGAAGAACATTCGAGGGCACCCTGCCCGCTGATGCACAATAACATCCAACAAACTCGAAAAGCATTAGAGAGTACCCTCCCCGAACAGACCTAGATCTTATACCTCGGTTCGACCGTAGCCGTTAAAGCAACACCATAAGACATGGCACAAGCAAGACTCGGCTCGGCAACGACGCTGTAACGCTGCACTGGTTCAGGCAGCAACCACCGCCGTAGCGGTGCAAGCAGCTGCCAGAACTAGTGCCAGAGGCGGACCCACTTCTGTAGATAACAACATGTGTACATATAAACACAGTTCTGTAAAGACATACACAGAGAAAGAGAGAGAGCGAGAGAGAGAGAAAGAGAGAGAGCGAGAGAGAGAGAGAGAGAGAGAGAGCAAGGACCGACCTAAATAATTATTTGTTGTTTTGGGTTCGTTTTTCATCGTTTTCTCGTCAACCTACCTTTGCTGCAACACGGAATCGAAACGAAAACGACCCACGAACTCGCCAAAACACCGTCTAGGCCGACTCCTGACATCGAGAGAAAGAAAGAGAGAGAGAGAGAGAGATTGAGATAGAGTTGAGCAGGGACCGACAGTCTCAACATTCATATATAGAGGCCTCCTAGATGGGGTCCGAGTAGATGGGGTCGAAGGATCGCGCCGCATCGCCAATGCATCGCCGATGTATGGGCGATGCATCGCCGATGCATCAGCGACGCCGGCGATGCATCGGCGACGTCGGCGTGGGAAAATCGGGCGCCACATCGAGCCGCATCGTCGATGTATCGGCGATGCATCGGCGATGCGGCGCGATCCTCCGACCCCATCTACTCCGACCCCATCTGCGAGGCCTAGAATATAGGCCTACAGCGACACTGTTTAGAACAAAAGAACGCTCTCATATCAACCTGACAACTCTTGGAACATGAATCCGGTTTGTTTACACAATACGGCCTCAACCAGACATGTTCTAAGAAGATGTCGTGAGAAGCACGCAGGATTATCATAACATCTTTGTGGTGGGCCTACAGGCAAGCCAGGGCACCTCGCCACTGGTGGGGAGAGAGAGGGAGAGGGAGAGTGAGAGAGAGACACATAGAATCCTACGTGCAAGCGTTGCTCCAGCAAGTCGCACATCATGTGTGCAGGGGCAGGCCCTCGCCGGCAAGGGGCGCGAGGGCCTCCGTTCCCAGGGGGGGGAACGCCAGAGGGGACCAGCTCGGGGGGGGGGGGGGGATCCGTCGACCTGGAACCGGCGACGCACCGCCGAGGGATCGACGAGAGGCCCCCCCCCTAAGAGCGAAGCCGCGCGCTCCCGAGCGGGGGGAGCTATCGGGCGCCCGCCGACGATGGCTGGACGAGTGGGGGGTCGAGGCGTCCGTCCCCTGAACGAAGGATTGCAAAAAAAACGAAGGATTGCAAAAAAACGAAGGATTGCAAAAAACGAAGGATTGCAAAAAAAGGATTGCCAACAAACGAAGGTTTTTTTGCAATCCTTCGACGATGACTGGACGAGTGGGGGGTCGATGCGTCCGTCCCCGAGCCCGCCCGCCCCTGACGCTGCCCCCGACGGGCGGAAGCGTTCCCGACCGCACGGTCGAAGCCCGTGCGTTCCCCCCTCGGCGCGACTGCTCTGGCGTCCCGGAGGTGGCGGAGCCCGGAGGGGATTTTTTCGCCGGCGCCCGCAGTGAGCACTCCAAGGTCACCTCGGGGGCTGCGCGAAGGGTCACCCTTGCCTTTCCCTTGGCCCGAAAGGCACGCTGTGGAAAGGCCAGGGACATGACGGACGAGTTCACTGTTCAGCTGCTTGCCCAAGCATGGGCTGAAACGGCGACGGCTGGGGCACTTTGGATGCTGGGCGAAGCCGAACCATTGCACTAGGCATTGCCGAGTGAATCGGCATCTGGCTGGAAGCATCCCTGTGGCAGAACAAACGACAGGCATCACCTCCTGCCACCATCAAAAAACTCTTACGCCGCCCAAGCACGACGGTGAACTTCACCTACCTGCCTTGACCCCATGCCAAACGATATCGTGGCGATGAACTTGGCTCAGGAAGGAGAGACGCGATACACGATAAACGCTAACCAACCAGACAGTGCTCTTCCAAACAGTGCATTCGACAACCTGCAGACTGCCTCAAAGACTCGCCAACTCTGAAACAGGGCTCTGGCACCCCCTACCGAGGCTGTAAACTCGATCGGCGCCTTCTCCTCCTCCTCCTCCTTCTCCTCCTCATTCTCCCTCCTCACAACTCCCCTCAATTGAGGGGCAACGAGAGGAGGGGACCCGGTCTTGGGGGGAACCATCGACTTGGAATCGGCGATATATTGCCAATAGATCGGCGATAGACCCAAATGGCGAATCCGCATGGTCCTGGGCGGGGTGTGCTATCAGGCCCCTATGGGGTGAGCAATGGGCTGTCGGGGGTCGATGCATCACCCCCTGAGCCTACCCCCCCCTAACGTTGCCTCTGATCAATCTGCACTGTGCTTGCCAGTGTTGCCCTCGTGGTGGCGAAAGCCCGACGCGAACAGGCCTAACAATTCGTCACAGCCATCCCTCCCAAAATGCCGCGTTGGGCGCGCCTGGCGGCCGTGTCTCGCAGCTTCCCGGCGGGTGCCCCGATCTTCGCGATCACCCTGTCGCGGTCCCGGCTGAAGCAGCAGAAGACGGTGAGGCCGCATGCCTGAACGCCACAGACGGTTCGGCCGCACCCTCCAGCACTGTCTCGAGATCACCTGCCCACACGAGTGGTGCACGCGGCCACCATGTGAATCGGCTGACGGCGAAGGCGAACAAGCATACGCGTCCTCCCGAGGAGCTGGAAACGCACGCGGCTGGATCAACATGCGGACCACGCGAAGGCCACTTGCTTGAAGGAAAGGCACTGGGCTGACATGTGGACACAGGTGTATCCACCTCATGCACCTGCTGACCACATCAATGTGTACCCAACTGCCCAGTAATATTATCCACCTGGTTTGATGCGTCCAGAGGGGAAGCGGAAGTGGAAGAGGCCGCGGAGCAGTGGACGGGGCGGTTGGATGAACACCGCTATAGAAAACGCATGCGCTTGATGGACTGGAAACTGTATAGGTGGAGCCACGGCTGAAGAGCTGGGTGCTGTGACGGCCGTGCCTGACACCGACCTCAACCTGCCGTCGCATTCGCGGGCACGAGCGCGAGGCGTTCGCTTCAAACGACGAGGGCAAAATCGGTGGTGCTCGAACTGCAACGGGGAACAAACATGCCTCATGCCTTCCCTGGGAGCCATGCGCCAAGCCAACCGCGGGTGAACTAACAACCCATTCCTGCGAAGGTCCAATCGAAAACCTGTTGGCACATCTTCTCAGGCACGCCCAGCTCTACGAATTAAGAGGTTAGCAGAGGATCATGGGCTGAGAAGCTCGTTTTCACATTCTACCGACCCCCCCAATCATTTTGAAAACTTTGGGGGAGCACGCCTAATTTAACTGTTCTCCTTCGCCAATCTCTTGAGGGAAGCTTTTGGAGAGAGACGAAAAAGAGGAGAGGGAGAGGGATGAATGAGAAGAAGGGAGACGAGGAGGAGCATGGGGGAAGACGACGAAGGCAAGAGAGGCTTGCGTGCTCTCCCCAATTGTACTAGAACCACGCGCGCGCTGCGCGCGCGTAGGTTCTAGCCGGTTCCAGCCCTTGCCAGTCTCACAACAGCGTGCAGATGCGTACGCACACATGTCACGTCAAGAATTACCCACAACTCGTTCGAACATGGGGTGACTACGTATTAAGAACGTGGACCGGGAACAGACGATTCCAGACAAGGCGATCTAATAAGATCCCAAGAGCGACCCAAGGGAGGGGGCCAGGAGAGGTCCAAAGGGCAGCCCGAGAAGATCGCAGGAACGCCCCGGGCCCCAAGAGAGGCTCGACGAGGGCCCCAAAAAGTCCTAGGAAGGAGCACAGGAGGGCCCCAAGAGGCGACCCAAGAGGGCTCTATCATTGCCCCCAAATGGTCTCAAGAGAGCCCTGGGAAGTGCCCCCCAAAGGCTGAAGAGGCTCCGAAAGGACCCCAAAGCGAAGGCCCGACAGGGCCCCTAAGAATTGCCCTGAGAAGGCACCAGAGGAAGGCCGACGAGGGCCCAGGAAGAGCTCCAAGAGTGCCGCCAGAGTGTCCCCAAGAGGAGCTACAAGAAGGCCCGACGAGGCCACAACAAGAGCGTCAAAACGGACCCAAGAGGAGCACTACGGTCCCAGGAGGGCCCCAACAGGGTACCAAGTGGCTGCCCAATATGGCTTCTAGAGGGGGCCCAGAGCGGTCCAAGATGGTCCAAGATTGCGTAAAAGTTAAACCGAATATGGCCTCAAAGAAGGCCGGCCTCAGAAATAATGCAAAAGGGGCCCAAGAGACGCTCCAAGATGGCCCAAGGAGGCCCGAAGAGGTGGCACAGGAAGGCTCCAAGAGGCCTTCAGAAGACCCGAAGGAGCCTCAAGACGACCCTGCAAGGGTCCAGAAGGACGTCCCGAGAAGGCACTAAGAGGTGCTACGCGAAGGCTGCAGAAGGCGGTGTGAGAGCGTCGGCAATCCTGCCAAGAGCGGCCTGAGCTCCAAGAGGGCCCAAGAGGGCAGGCTCAGAGGGGGGTCTGGCGGAAAAAAAAGCTCCCCTAACCTCCCCTCGGGGGGTTGTTCCGGGGAAGTACGGAACTGCCAGAGTGTACTGTCTTGGGGGTCTCTCGTCGGAGGTATCTTGTGAACGTCTTGACAGCCTCCTGGAGGGTCTTAGGGGCACGATGGAAGCTGTACCTTTCGAGGCATTCCCCCAAGACCCCTCTTCGTCTTTTGTCGGGGCCATGTTGCATCGCTACCGTCGTCGTCGTCCTCCTCCTCCTCCTCCTCCACCTCCGCCTCTGCCTCCTCCTCCTCCTCCACCTCCTTTTCCTCCACTCAGACCCACTAAAACACCGACAACTCTTACCCATATACACTCACACCCAGACTCACGTACATCTATACTCACTGGCACTCAGGCCCACTCACATTCAGACTCACTCAAACTCGCATGCACTCGCACAGAGTCTATTCACACTCATTTGCGCTCATACTCAAGTCTCCTGTTTGGGGATGTCTCAGGCGGTTTGCCTTGTTGTACGCCCCCAGGCTTCTCTGCCTTCGGAGCAGTTTGCCAGAATGTCTCGAACACACTCAGACGCACTCGCACTCAGACGCATCCACACTCAGAGTCACTCACACTCAGACTCACCCACACTCAGACTCACTCACACAGACCACTCACACCCAGGCTCGCCTCACACTCGATTTGCGAGGATGTCTCGAGCTCGGAGCTGGTTTCGGCGCCCCAGGGGGGGCGCCGCCAGAGAGAATTGCAAGGGCCCGTTGGCACCCAGATTGTGGTGATGTCTTAGGCGACTTGCGCATTTGGTTGTCTAGACTACCTTTCTTTCAGAGCAAATTGTGGGGATGTCTCAAGGGAGTCGCTGGCTTCAGCACATGGGGGGCCGGCAGGGGATATTGCACCGGCCCGTTCGCGCCCGGGTGTTGGTGATGTCTCAGGCGGTTTGCGTGTTTGGTTGCCCAGCTTTCCGATCAGATTGTGAGGACGTCTCAAGCGAGGCGCTGGTTCCAGCACCCCACGGGGGAGTCTCCAATGGGTGGGACACTCCTCCGTTCGCGCATAGATTGCGGGGGGTTTGCCTGTCTGGTTGCTCAGACTCCCCTTCTGTCAGAGCAGATTGTGAGGATGTCCCGAGCGAGGCGCTGGATTTAGCACCCCCAGGGGGAGCCGCCAGGGGGTATTGCACGGGCCCGTTCGCGCCCAGATTGCGGGGATATCTCAAGCGGCGTGCCTGTTTGGTTGCCTAGACTCCTCTGCTTTCAGAGCAAATTGTGAGGATGTCTCGAGCGATGCGCTGGTTTCAGCACCCCAAAGGGGGGCCGCCAAGGGATGGGGAGCTCAAACAAAGATCCCGAGGAACCCAAGCTGAGGGTCGCAAGTGCCATCGGGTCTCTTTCGCAAGCAAAGGGAGGGAGAAGAGAGGAACGAGTAGGACAGAGGAGGGAGAAGCGACGATACAGGCGGAAGGAAGGGTGAGAAAAGACTCAGGCAGGGGCGGGTGGAGGGAGGATCAACGGAAGAAGGGAAAGGAGGCAGGCGGGATCGCATAGCGTCCACCAGCCCATGTCGGCACACCCTTCACACGGATCGTGCCCCCCACGAAGCGCCACATACGGCCCCAAGGAAACGCAAGCTTCACACAGCGTCACCCGGCCAATGTCGGGACGCCCCTCACACGGAGCCTGCCCCTCGGGGAGCTCCACCTGCGGTGCCAGAGTGAAAGTTCGCCTGGCGCCCCTCCGCCCAGTCCGCCACACCGTTCGCACGGAACGGGCCCCACGGAGAGTTCCACGCGCGGCACCACTGGGAGGCTTCGCATCGCGCCCCCCCGCATCTTTCGACTCACCCCTCGAGCGGATGTTCCTCCTCCTCCTCCTCCTCCTCCTCCTCCTCCTCCCCCTCCTCCTCCTCCTCCTCCTTCTCCTCCTCCCCCTCCTCCTCCTCCTCCTCCTCCTCCTCCTGTCCCACAGGGAGCTCAACCAGCAGCCCCAGAGAGAAGGTTCGCGTCCGCTCCACCCAGATCAGCACACCGCTGCCATGGATCGTGGCCCAAAGGGAGCTCCACCTACGGCCCCAGAGGGGAGGTTCGCACGGCGTCCCCACGCCCATTTCGGCACACCCGTCACACGGATCGCGGCCCGTAGGGAGCTCCACCGACGGCTCCAACAGGAGAGGTCGCATGCCGTCCCTCCGCATATTTCGGCACACCCTCAACGCGGATCGTACCCCGCAAGGGTCTCCAACTATGGCACCAACGGTAAATGTCGCATGGCGTCCCCACACCCGTTTCGACGCCGCTACACGCGGGTCGCGCTCCACAAGGAGCTCCACCTACGGCCTCTGTGGGCGCGCTCGTGCGGGGGCCACCCCCTTCACGCGGATCGCGCCCCACAAGGAGCTCAGCGTGCCTACGCGCGCTAGCCCCCGTATCGGGTCTGCCGCGCGGCGCGCAGTGTATGAAGAGAGAGCCGCGCCCTGCGCTACACGCATCTGCATACGGTGTGGCCCTTCGCCGGGCCAAGTGATGCCTCTTTCCTGTTACATGCGCACATACGTTAGCACATACATGCGCACGTGCATGCATACATACATGACTACGTACAGACATACCCATACATACACAAACGAACAAAACCTGTGCCGATCAGGCGGCGCCCCAGGAACGGGCCTCTTTTGTGGACGAGAGGCCTCTCGTAGATGTATATGAAGGTTTCTTGGGAAGTCTCTCAACGGTCCGTTTGGGGCCTCTTGGGGGTCTCCTGGGGGCTTCCTGGGGGCCTCTGGGGGCCTCTTGGAGGTCTCTTGGGGGCCCCTTGAAGGCCTCTCGGGGCCTATCGCGGGCGTCTTGGGGGCCTCTTGGGGCCTCTTGGGGCTTCTTGGGGGTTCTCTTGGGGCGGGGGGCTCGAAACTTCAGGTGGATTTCCCAATCTCGGGTTCCTCTTGGGCCCGTTTGGGAGCCCGTTTGGGCTGTCTTGGGCGCCTCTTGGACCGTCTTGGGGCTCTCTTGGCCCGTCTTGGGGCGCTCTGGGAGGCCTCTTGGGCCGTCTGGGGGCGGTCTTTCGGGCCTCTGAGGTCGTTGAGGACGGTACGAGGACTAAAAAGCGAATCTGCAACAAGTGTACCTTTTACGGAGGGAATGGGACGATTTTTGCTGATGGCCGTCTTTGGGGACCTATTTGGAGGGGGCTTCAAGCGTCTTGGACGCCTCTGGGGCGGTTCGAGACGCCTCGCGAGCCGTCGCAGACTGCTGGAGGCCGTCCTGAGGGTGGCCCTGGGCCGCCTTCGGCCGCCGTGACGCCCCTCGGACCGCTCTCCGGGGCGATTTCGGCCCCCCCCCAGGGGCGGACGGGGCCCGCACACACACACACACATTTGCGGTAGAGGTCGCGGCCCCGGGGGCCCAGGACCCGGTGCGCCGTTACATGCAGAACATCCTTCTCCTCCCTTCTTTTCCTCACCTTCACACACTTCCTCCTCCTCCTCCTCCTCCTCCTCGTCCTCCTCCTCCTCCTCCTCCTCCTCCTCCTCCGCCTCCTGTTCCGCTTCTCCTTTCCTCCTCCTCGGGAGCACAGCAAGTATTGCACTCATACGTTTCTGCCGCCATCATCGTTCTGTGCGCGCGTGCGCACTGCCTGCGTAAGCTGCATTTGGGCTCAATGTACTTGGTGTGTGCCAATCCTGGGCACTTTTCGTGTTCGCGTGCCCGAGGCCGGAAACACCTCCAAAAACCGACGAGAGCGTCCAGAGCCCTCGAGAGACCTCCTGCTCCCACCGCTGCTGCTGTCCTTCCCTCGTCGGTGCAGTCATCGTGCTGCCATGAGTCGGCGGCGAACGAGGGGGGAGGGGAGTGGGAAGGAGAAAGCCTTCTTTCAGAAGGCGCGGGGGACCTCTCAGAAGGCTGGGCGACTTCACCCGCTGTGTGACGACAATGCAAATCAAGACGCCAATGTAGCGTGTGCTTTTTCCAGCCCTGAGAGAGTTGGGACCCCTCTCGCCTGGGCTCTCGTGCCAGCAGGACCGCACCACAACAAAAAGAGCGCACCCGTTCCCAGAGAGTGCACCGCTGCCTACTCGAGGCCGACCAGCCTCGACGGCTCTACGCGGTGGGCCTTCGCCACTGGCTCCGCTGCGGTGGCGTCCCGCTTCGCCTTCTCCATGTATGCCATTATCCTCTCGACCTCCTCGTCGGCGGAGTAGCCCGAGTCCCAGGTGCTGAAGCTGGGCCAGTCGTGGTCGGCCAGGGGATAGCTCAGCGGGGGAGGGGGTGCAGCCTTGACCGATTGCGGGGTCGGGATGTCCCGTGCCTGGAAGTATGAGGGGTTAACGAACACGGCGTCCTTGTAGTGGAAGCGCGGCTCGACGTAATTGATCCAATACGCATCCAGACCTCCGATGTATTTGAAGCTGGCGTTGTGCATGATCTCAAAGACCAGCTCTTCGGTGTCATCCTTGGACCTAGCTTGAACAAAAGACTGCTCGCCACGACCAGTGCGACGGCCGTCGAAGTTAACCAGGATGACGCCGATCTCAATGTTCTTCCCCGAGTTCAGCAAGGTCTCGTTGAGGACCTCCGCCTCGTACCCACCGGTGCTCAGGCTCCAGAAGTCGATGCTTCTCCTGCCGCCCATCTCTTCGAGAAACCTCGGCATGGCGTAGGCGTGGATCTTGTGCCCGCTCAACATGTCGATCGTGCCATCCTGGGCGAATCCGATCTTCGTAGCGTTCTCGTGCGGCGACAGGGCCCCAAGAAACAACCACGCCTTCCGGAACTTGCCCCACAAGGTCACAAACTCGTACACGCGGGGCTCTAAGATCAGGCCGCGCCAGCCTGTGAGCTCGAGCAAGAGCGTGTTGCTGTTCTTCTCACCATCGGCCCCGTTGGAATCAACGTAGAAGCCGTTGGTGATGTTCTCCAGCACCTGCGTGATGAGCTTCACGTCCTGCGAGGCACTGCTGAAGCTCTGAACGTTGTCGCCCGTCTCCAGGCTGTACTCGAGCTCCTTGGGGAAATCGATGAAGGGCATGGCCGAGTAGTGGGAGATCGGCAGCGAGTCGCCGGTTCGTGGCGACCCGACGCCCCACGGCAGCTCGGAGCCCTGGCTGTACCCTTGCGACTGCCGCCCAGACGCGCCCGTCGCGCCCTCGGCCTGGAACTCCGCCGAGGGCTGGAAGTCCGCCGCCACCCTGTGCGCCTGGCTTGCGTCCAGGCCCAGGAGGCTCGAGCGGTGCTCGCTGGAGGGCCTGGAGACCTCCGCCCTGCGGACGTCGCCCGGAGGCACGAGCACCGGCCTCCTGGACGACGCGGCCTCGAGCCTGCGGAAGTACTGCATGGCCTCCGCCGAAGCAGCCAGGGCCTGCACCCGGGCACGCGAGGCGGCGCTGTGGTCCGTCTCGCTCCCGATGCTCAGGCTGACGGCATTGGCCAGGGGGGCGGAGAGTATCAGCAGCAGCGCCACTGGCATCTGGACAGAACTGATGGTGCGGTATCCGGCGTGGGACGTGCGCTGCAAACCAGCGCAATCCAAGAGCCCGACAGGCTTGAGCCAGGGTGTGTGTGTGTGTGTGTGTGTGAGTGAGTGTGCCAATCCTGGGCACTTTTCGTGTTCGCGTGCCCGAGGCCGGAAACACCTCCAAGAACCGACGAGAGCGTCCAGAGCCCTCGAGAGACCTCCTGCTCCCACCGCTGCTGCTGTCCTTCCTCGTCGGTGCAGTCATCGTGCTGCCATGAGTCGGCGGCGAACGAGGGGGGGGGAGTGGGAAGGAGAAAGCCTTCTTTCAGAAGGCGCGGGGGACCTCTCAGAAGGCTGGGCGACTTCACCCGCTGTGTGACGACAGTGCAAATCAAGACGCCAATGTAGCGTGTGCTTTTTCCAGCCCTGAGAGAGTTGGGACCCCTCTCGCCTGGGCTCTCGTGCCAGCAGGACCGCACCACAACAAAAAGAGCGCACCCGTTCCCAGAGAGTGCACCGCTGCCTACTCGAGGCCGACCAGCCTCGACGGCTCTACGCGGTGGGCCTTCGCCACTGGCTCCGCTGCGGTGGCGTCCCGCTTCGCCTTCTCCATGTATGCCATTATCCTCTCGACCTCCTCGTCGGCGGAGTAGCCCGAGTCCCAGGTGCTGAAGCCGGGCCAGTCGTGGTCGGCCAGGGGATAGCTCAGCGGGGGAGGGGGTGCAGCCTTGACCGATTGCGGGGTCGGGATGTCCCGTGCCTGGAAGTATGAGGGGTTCACGAACACGGCGTCCTTGTAGTGGAAGCGCGGCTCGACGTAATTGATCCAATACGCATCCAGACCTCCGATGTATTTGAAGCTGGCGTTGTGCATGATCTCAAAGACCAGCTCTTCGGTGTCATCCTTGGACCTAGCTTGAACAAAAGACTGCTCGCCACGACCAGTGCGACGGCCGTCGAAGTTAACCAGGATGACGCCGATCTCAATGTTCTTCCCCGAGTTCAGCAAGGTCTCGTTGAGGACCTCCGCCTCGTACCCACCGGTGCTCAGGCTCCAGAAGTCGATGCTTCTCCTGCCGCCCATCTCTTCGAGAAACCTCGGCATGGCGTAGGCGTGGATCTTGTGCCCGCTCAACATGTCGATCGTGCCATCCTGGGCGAATCCGATCTTCGTAGCGTTCTCGTGCGGCGACAGGGCCCCAAGAAACAACCACGCCTTCCGGAACTTGCCCCACAAGGTCACAAACTCGTACACGCGGGGCTCTAAGATCAGGCCGCGCCAGCCTGTGAGCTCGAGCAAGAGCGTGTTGCTGTTCTTCTCACCATCGGCCCCGTTGGAATCAACGTAGAAGCCGTTGGTGATGTTCTCCAGCACCTGCGTGATGAGCTTCACGTCCTGCGAGGCACTGCTGAAGCTCTGAACGTTGTCGCCCGTCTCCAGGCTGTACTCGAGCTCCTTGGGGAAATCGATGAAGGGCATGGCCGAGTAGTGGGAGATCGGCAGCGAGTCGCCGGTTCGTGGCGACCCGACGCCCCACGGCAGCTCGGAGCCCTGGCTGTACCCTTGCGACTGCCGCCCAGACGCGCCCGTCGCGCCCTCGGCCTGGAACTCCGCCGAGGGCTGGAAGTCCGCCGCCACCCTGTGCGCCTGGCTTGCGTCCAGGCCCAGGAGGCTCGAGCGGTGCTCGCTGGAGGGCCTGGAGACCTCCGCCCTGCGGACGTCGCCCGGAGGCACGAGCACCGGCCTCCTGGACGACGCGGCCTCGAGCCTGCGGAAGTACTGCATGGCCTCCGCCGAAGCAGCCAGGGCCTGCACCCGGGCACGCGAGGCGGCGCTGTGGTCCGTCTCGCTCCCGATGCTCAGGCTGACGGCATTGGCCAGGGGGGCGGAGAGTATCAGCAGCAGCGCCACTGGCATCTGGACAGAACTGATGGTGCGGTATCCGGCGTGGGATGTGCGCTGCAAACCAGCGCAATCCAAGAGCCCGACAGGCTTGAGCCAGGGTGTGTGTGTGTGTGTGTGTGTGTGTGTGAGTGAGTGTGCCAATCCTGGGCACTTTTCGTGTTCGCGTGCCCGAGGCCGGAAACACCTCCAAGAACCGACGAGAGCGTCCAGAGCCCTCGAGAGACCTCCTGCTCCCACCGCTGCTGCTGTCCTTCCATCGTCGGTGCAGTCATCGTGCTGCCATGAGTCGGCGGCGAACGAGGGGGGGGGAGTGGGAAGGAGAAAGCCTTCTTTCAGAAGGCGCGGGGGACCTCTCAGAAGGCTGGGCGACTTCACCCGCTGTGTGACGACAGTGCAAATCAAGACGCCAATGTAGCGTGTGCTTTTTCCAGCCCTGAGAGAGTTGGGACCCCTCTCGCCTGGGCTCTCGTGCCAGCAGGACCGCACCACAACAAAAAGAGCGCACCCGTTCCCAGAGAGTGCACCGCTGCCTACTCGAGGCCGACCAGCCTCGACGGCTCTACGCGGTGGGCCTTCGCCACTGGCTCCGCTGCGGTGGCGTCCCGCTTCGCCTTCTCCATGTATGCCATTATCCTCTCGACCTCCTCGTCGGCGGAGTAGCCCGAGTCCCAGGTGCTGAAGCCGGGCCAGTCGTGGTCGGCCAGGGGATAGCTCAGCGGGGGAGGGGGTGCAGCCTTGACCGATTGCGGGGTCGGGATGTCCCGTGCCTGGAAGTATGAGGGGTTAACGAACACGGCGTCCTTGTAGTGGAAGCGCGGCTCGACGTAATTGATCCAATACGCATCCAGACCTCCGATGTATTTGAAGCTGGCGTTGTGCATGATCTCAAAGACCAGCTCTTCGGTGTCATCCTTGGACCTAGCTTGAACAAAAGACTGCTCGCCACGACCAGTGCGACGGCCGTCGAAGTTAACCAGGATGACGCCGATCTCAATGTTCTTCCCCGAGTTCAGCAAGGTCTCGTTGAGGACCTCCGCCTCGTACCCACCGGTGCTCAGGCTCCAGAAGTCGATGCTTCTCCTGCCGCCCATCTCTTCGAGAAACCTCGGCATGGCGTAGGCGTGGATCTTGTGCCCGCTCAACATGTCGATCGTGCCATCCTGGGCGAATCCGATCTTCGTAGCGTTCTCGTGCGGCGACAGGGCCCCAAGAAACAACCACGCCTTCCGGAACTTGCCCCACAAGGTCACAAACTCGTACACGCGGGGCTCTAAGATCAGGCCGCGCCAGCCTGTGAGCTCGAGCAAGAGCGTGTTGCTGTTCTTCTCACCATCGGCCCCGTTGGAATCAACGTAGAAGCCGTTGGTGATGTTCTCCAGCACCTGCGTGATGAGCTTCACGTCCTGCGAGGCACTGCTGAAGCTCTGAACGTTGTCGCCCGTCTCCAGGCTGTACTCGAGCTCCTTGGGGAAATCGATGAAGGGCATGGCCGAGTAGTGGGAGATCGGCAGCGAGTCGCCGGTTCGTGGCGACCCGACGCCCCACGGCAGCTCGGAGCCCTGGCTGTACCCTTGCGACTGCCGCCCAGACGCGCCCGTCGCGCCCTCGGCCTGGAACTCCGCCGAGGGCTGGAAGTCCGCCGCCACCCTGTGCGCCTGGCTTGCGTCCAGGCCCAGGAGGCTCGAGCGGTGCTCGCTGGAGGGCCTGGAGACCTCCGCCCTGCGGACGTCGCCCGGAGGCACGAGCACCGGCCTCCTGGACGACGCGGCCTCGAGCCTGCGGAAGTACTGCATGGCCTCCGCCGAAGCAGCCAGGGCCTGCACCCGGGCACGCGAGGCGGCGCTGTGGTCCGTCTCGCTCCCGATGCTCAGGCTGACGGCATTGGCCAGGGGGGCGGAGAGTATCAGCAGCAGCGCCACTGGCATCTGGACAGAACTGATGGTGCGGTATCCGGCGTGGGACGTGCGCTGCAAACCAGCGCAATCCAAGAGCCCGACAGGCTTGAGCCAGGGTGTGTGTGTGTGTGTGTGTGAGTGAGTGAGTGTGCCAATCCTGGGCACTTTTCGTGTTCGCGTGCCCGAGGCCGGAAACACCTCCAAGAACCGACGAGAGTGTCCAGAGCCCTCGAGAGAACCTCCTGCTCCCACCGCTGCTGCTGTCCTTCCCTCGTCGGTGCAGTCATCGTGCTGCCATGAGTCGGCGGCGAACGAGGGGGGGGGGAGTGGGAAGGAGAAAGCCTTCTTTCAGAAGGCGCGGGGGACCTCTCAGAAGGCCTCCGGCCTTCTGAGAGGCTTCCTGCGTCTTCGGGGAAGGCGCAGAAGACTTCTCAGAAGGCTGGGAGACTTCCGAGCCTTCTGAAAAGGCTCGCCCTTCTCACTTCCCCCCCTCGCTCGCCGTCGACGTAGGGAACGCCGAGCAAGGAGCGAAGTGGCTCCCCTGGCCGCGGCGAGCCTTGGCCACGAAGCGGCTTCCCGACCTGGATCTAAGAGGAACAGCTCGAGAGCCGGGGCGCATTTCAACGCCTTGACTGTACGGCCGAAGTCTCGGCGGCGAGCCCAGGGGGGATGTGAGAAAGGGCGGGCCTTCTGAGAAGGCTCGGAAGTCCTCTGGCCTTCTGAACAGTTTTTCGGAGCCTTCCCCGAGGACACCGAACACCTCTCAGAAAGCCAGGGGGCTTCTGAGAAGCCTCGCCACCTTCTGAGAAGGCCTTCTCCTCCTCACTTCCCCCCTCGCTCGCAGTCGAAAACCGACAGTACGGACGCAAGGCAAGGACGCAAAGGCCTTGAGCCTTCCAAGTTGGACGCCCTTGAATGTCGAAACTGGCAAAGGATTGGCCGAGGAGGCAAGGATACATGGGTGCCCTTGGCCATGACCAAGAAGGGCAGATTCATGGGAAACTCAGGTGGAGGCTCGTAGCACTGACGTGCAAATCGTGTCGTACTTGGGTAAAGGGGCGGAAGACCAGTCGAACCATCTAACAGTTGGTTCCCTCCGAAATTTCCCTCAGGATGGCCAGAGCTGACCAGTGTTACCGGGTGAGGCGAATGATTCGAGAAATCGAGGGCGCGTCGCCCCCGGCTTACTCTCAGATTTTCCTGGGTCCTTGCCACGGCTTTTGACGGCAGTCGGCGTCCCGATCAGATCCTCCTCCTGCACCGTAGAGGCACTTCACCGTCGTCGCCGCGGCCGCCGGCCGGCCTGCAAGCTCTTGAGGATGGTCTGAGCGGCGGCGGGGCACACCGCTGTCGAGGAAGAGCCGTGGCGTGGAGTGAGGAGGGCTCGATCTAAACTCGGCGGCGAGCGAGGGGGGACGTGAGTAGGGGAGTGAGACGAAGCCAGGACGAGGATAACATCGGGTGAGGATGAATCGAGATTCTCTGCGATCCGACGGTTCTGGAAAATGTCGCGGGCGCCGCGGCCTTCTCAGAGCGTTGCAGAACGCTCTGAGAGCGTTCCGGAACGCTCTGGAACGGAGTTATCCTTGTCCTAGCCCTGGCCGTAGGAAGTCCTCTCAGAAGGCGGCGGGGCTTCTCAGAAGCCCTTCGGCCTTCCGAGAAATTTAGCGTGTCTCCGGGGAAGGCTTAGGACACTTCTCAGACGGCTGGAAGCCTTCCGATCATTCCGAGAGGGCCCGCCCCCCCTCGCTTCCCCCCCTCGCTCGCCGCCGATAAACAATTTTTCCCGCGTTCGTTCTGGGATCCTTTACCGTCGTTTTCTGTCTTCCCTCCGCCTGAGCTGCGAGACGAACTTATCACGAGAACGGGTCACGCAATCACCCGAAATCGTCCTTCAGGTCGTGCCCTGGGAGCGAGGGTGCCACTCGACCCTCCGAGGATCGAGGATCGAGGATCGAGGATCGAGGAGGAGGAGGAAGAGGAAGAGGAGGAGGAGGAGGAGGAGGAGGAGGAGGAGGAGGATGAGGATCGAGGAGGAGGATCGAGGAGGGCAAGCCCACGTGGAGGAGGAGGCATGAGGAGGCCACTCCTGCCAAGGTCTGCCCTCGACCCTCCGAAGGCGAGGCGGGGGAGGCTTTCTCGGGAGCGGCCAAGAGGGGGGTGTCCGAGAGGGGGGGGTGCAAATCATGACCGGCGGCATGTGCGCGGCCCAGCGGGGGGGCCAGGGACGTAATGAAATAAGAAGAAGCGCCATGAAATCTGGGGAAATATCATGGCCCACGCCATGATATCCCCCCACCCTAGTCATCACCCCCCTCTTTTCCGCCCCCGACTTTCGAGCGTGTTCTTGCCCGCCCCTGTCGGGCCTCTGGAGGCCTCCGGAAGCCTCTGGGGACCTCCGGGGGTCAGGATCCGGGGCGGGAGCAAAACTTTCCGATGAGTCCCTCCTCCTCCTCCTCCTCCTCCGCCTCCTCCTCCTCCTCCTCCTCCTCCTCCTCCTCCTCCTCCTCCCCCTCCCTGTGCACCCCATGGCAATGGGCGACGTGAGACTGAATTTCAAGGCGTGCGAGGGGTCGCTGGAGTTATTTCCCCCTTGCGCTCTCTCCATTCGCGTTTGCTTCCCATCGCTATCGAGGTTAACCATGGAACCGCCAACCCCTAACAGGGGGATGATGTGGGAATCTTGCTGGGCCTTTACCTGATCTGTTCGAGATGCCGGCTGTTCGCGCTGCATGGCATCGCACTGCTCAAGTGGAACCATGCTGATCCTGGAGTCCGAAGAACGCAACCATTCAATCCGTACGCACCCAGCGGCCAATACACAAGACAAGTCCTTCGGGCAATCCAAAGAAGAACAAGCTACAGCCTGGCAGAGACATGGAGCATCCGAGGCAATGACCTCGAGAGGTGCAGGTCGTAGAGGTGTCTGGTAATTCTACGGTCGGGAGCGTTTGCTTAGCGTGTCGAGGTGGCGGCCCCGGCGACACGCCATGCTCTGCCAGCGAGTAGCGTGTCGCCCCGCTCCGCGGGGCAGGATGCTCGGGACGTCGACGCCTGGGGACTGGGGACGTGATTCGCGTGTCGCGCCGGAAGGCGGTGGGCCAGGACCGGCGGCGCGACACGCTAAGCAGACGTTCCTGACCGTATGATCGTGCCCAAGGCCTCGGCCGTTTGCCTCGCTTTCTTCGGCGATGGGTATGCCAGACTGGCTGCCGTAACATACCGCTCGGGCGACCCAAGGAAACGAATTCTACACCTGTAGAGGGCACCGGGAACTTCTTCTGAGCGTTTCGCGGCGGCGGCCCCGGCGACACGCTATGCCCTGCGAGCGGAGAGCGTGTCGCTCCGCTCCGCGGGGCCGGGAGGCTCAGACAGGCTCGGGACGTTGACGCTGGGGGGCTTGGAGGTGGATAGCGAGTCGCGCCGAGGCGTAACTGACTACCCCTGATAATAACACCCGGGGGATAACAAAGTTCGGGGTTCCGGGAGGATGCTAAACGATTTGTCCCGGCAAGTCGCACGTGGGACGTATGACGAAGAAAGACAAGGTCGTCGTCGTCGTCGTCGCATGAAGACGACGACGATCACGACGACGACGACGACGACGACGACCTAACCCTGCCACACGCTCGTGACTTCGGAGGGGATGTCAAGGAGGGGATGGGAAAGGAGAGAGAAGGGGAGGGGAAGAGGAGAGTGGGAGAGGAGAGAGGCCCCAAGACCAATCTTCAAACCAACATGAATTTCAGGCCTTTGCGATTCTTGGGGTATAACAGTTTGTTTATTTTTGGCCGTTTTCTACATCACATGTGTAGGAACTCATGGTTGCCCGCTTCCGGAGATAAAAACGCCCGGGATTACAACAAACAACTTCCGGGGGGGGCTCGGCTGAAAGAGGAAACGATAATAGTAGTAGTAGTAGTAGTAGTAGTAGTAGTAGTAGTAGTAGTAGGAGCAGTGGTAGCAGTAGTAGTAGTAGTAGTAGTAGTAGTCGTAGTAGTAGTAGTAGTCGTAGTAGTAGTAGTAGTGATAGTAGTAGTAGTAGTAGTAGTAGTAGTAGTAGTAATAGTAAAAGTAGTAGTCGTAGTCGTAGTAGTAGTAGTAGTAGTAGTAGTAGTAATCGTCGTAGTAGTAGTAGTCGTAGACATAGACGTAAAAATAAAAGTAAGAGTTGTCGTCGTAGTAGTCGGAATAATCATAATAGTATTGGTGTTCGTAGTAGTCGTAGTAGTAGTAGTTGTAGTAGTAGTAGTAGTCGTAGTAGTAATCGTAGTAGTAGTAGCAGTAGTAGTAGTACTCGTAGTAGTAGTAGTAATAGTAGTAGAAATAGTAGTCGCAGTAGTACTAGTAGTAGTCGTAGTAGTAGTAGTAGTAGTAGTAGTAGTAGGAAGCAGTAGTAGTGGTAGTAGAAGTAGTAGTAGTAGTAGTAGTAGTAGTAGTAGTAGAAGTAGTAGTAGTAGTAGTAGTAGTAGTAGTAATCATAGTAGCAGTCGTGATCGTAGTAGTAGTAGTAGTAGTAGTAGTCGTAGTAGTAGTAGTAGTAGTAGTAGTAGTAGTCGTAGTAGTAGTAGCAATAGTAGTAGTAGTAGTAGTAGTAGTAGTAGTAGTAGTAGTCGTAGAACCAGTAGTAGTATTAGAGTATTCGAGTAGTAGTAGTAGTAGTAGTAGTAGTAGGAGTAGTAAAAAAGCGATAGTGGTAGCAGTAGTAGTAATAGTAGTCGTCGTCGTCGTCGTCGAAATAAAAGAAGTAGTAGTCGTAGTCTTCGTAGCAGTCGTAGTAATCATAATAGTTGTAGTCGTAGTTTTGTGGTTGTAGTAGTAGTTGTAGTGGTACTGCTAATAGTAACCGTAGTCTTAGTAGGGGTAGCAATCGTAGTAATCGTAGTCGTAGTAGTAGTAGTAGTAGTAGTAGTAGTAGTAGTGGTAGTAGTAGTCGTAGTCGTAGTCGTAGTAGTAATCGCAGGAGTAGTAGTAATAGTAGTAGTAGTAGTAGTAGTAGTAGTAGTAGTAGTCGTAGTAGTAATAAAAGTAGTAGTAGTAGTAGTAGTAGTAATAATAATAGTAGTGGTAGTCGTAGCGGTAGTCGCATTCGTAGAAAAAGTAGCCGTAGGAGTACTTGTGGTAGTCGTAGTAGTAGTAAGAATAGTCGTGGTGGTGGTGGCAGGGGTCGAAGTAGTAGTCGCAGCCGGAATGAGAATAGCAGTAACAGTACTAGTAGGAGTTGTCCTAGTAATAGTAGCAGTAGTAATAGT